ACCCCCTCGATCATTGGAAGCGGGCGGGATGGGCGTCGAAGAAAGAGTTAATGTCAGCGCCGCGGCCCGCGGGGCGTCGCGATTGGAAGCTGCGCGCCGTGCGCGTTATGCCCCCTCCTCTTCGCCGGGTGCGGAGGGCGCTCGGCCTTGGGCCGTGGAAGCGGCGGGCCCAAACGCAGGCGCTTCTGCCCTCGAGGGCCCAGGGCGGCGCAGGCGTCGGGGCGCGCTTATTGCGTCGGACTCAACTGGCAAGATTGCCTTGGGGCGGCAGCAGGAGGACCTGGCGACCCAACGGGCGCGCCTCACTGCCCAGATGCATCGATTTGAACAGGGCACCCAGCGTAACATGCGGCCATTCACAGGGCGCGCGATGATACGTCCCAGTTGCACTGGGTTGTGCGTGCGAACAGGGCGCGGTCGGAGTTGCACGCGTCGAGCTCTGTTTCGCGCTGCCATCGATGAGGGCCGCCCGGGCGAGGGCCAATTTCGATTCTACAATGAATGGATGTCTGTCTCTCGATCTGCGTGGGGGGGGCGCGCCGTCCGCTGACATGGCACCTTCGATTATTGGGCGTTCTCGCGAACAATTGAAACTTGCGCGCAATGTGCAAGCGGCAATTCGATGGTGCCAGATCAGTGCGGCTGACGTTGGATCCAGTATTCGCACCTGCGACTTGTTGCCCGGTCAACTGCAGAGATGCATGACAGAGGAGCGCTGCGACATCAATTTCGGCTTTAGGAAACGCTTCATCAGTGGGGCCGTCGCGCACGCAATGCAAGCGGCGCCGTTTCGGGGGGCCGGGTGGCGGGGCGTCCGCGACCTCCTTGGTGAAGCCCGCTGATCGGGTGAAGGATGGCCGAATAAGAAAGGAGGTGGCATGCGAATTTGTGGCGTGGGGCAAAGCCGAGGCTGCCTCTATAGCCGCGAGAGGCCAAAGGCAGCGCCTGCCGCGCGACCAGCGCGGCGGGCGGCGAAGACAGATGCTGCGCCGGCAGAAAATGTCTGGCAGGCGCAGTGGGGCGACGGGGGCAATCCCGAGAAAGACAAGGGCAGCGGCAAGGGCAGATCGCGAGATTGATGGGTCAACCGCGGCCCGGCCCACGCGAGCCCCGCGAGAGAGCAGCGGGCTATATTTGACTCGCGTTTTCCAGCGGCAAATTCCGAGACCCCCCGCGCAATCGCCCACGTTGCAGACGGCGCGGGGCTTTGACCGAGTCCGATATTTGAAGGAGGACCAGTTGGGTTGAATATCTGATCTCAGCGGGAAAGAGCATCGGAAATGACCGTGCTCCGAGGCAGGCCAGTTCTTCAGCGGCAAAGGCCGCCGAGGCGCGCGCTGCCCTGGGATCTGGCGTCGGCGGCGAGGGCGGCAGCCAGATAGGGTGTAATAAAAAGGGGGCGGCGAAGGCCGGGGGGGTGCTCCTTGCTGGCGTCGGCGGGAGAAGAAGACATGCCCCTTCGGGAATCGGCGTGCATTCCGCGCGAAGACCCGTGGGCGCGAGTGACGATGGCCACCGAGGGTCGCTCAGCCATCGACCGCCTTTGGAGGTTTTCGTTTTCTCCGCTACCTTTCTTGCTGTGTCTGTTTTGATGATCTCATGTGCCCTTCCCATTCTAGCGACCCCTCGTCGGCTCAACTGGCGGCGTGCGTCGAGGGGGCATGTCGAGTTTGAGGCGCCGCTGGTTGCAAAGGAATGCCGGCGCATCTAGCACTACGTTCGCAATCTGTTCTAGGTCGCGCCACCAATTGGAGTCAGTCGTGGCGTGAAGTCCCCCGCTGACTCTCGTTGCTCGAATCCACTGCGCGTGCGCGGCAGACGCGGGCCCAGCAGCCCAGGGGAAAAGCATTGCGTCGTGCTTGCGAGCCCCCCTCGCGTAAGGGGCTCGAAGTTTTCGCGGATGTGCGTCGGGGCCTGGGCCTCGCAGGAGGCGCCCGCCAGGTGGGGGCCGCCCTCCCAGCCCAGAATTGCGCGCGCAGCGCGGTGGGGCGACCCGAGTTCGAGACCGCCCGCGTTGCTCGAGTCAGTTCCGAGGCGCCGCTTTGTACCCGTCGCGATATTCCTAGCAGTTCGTTCTGCGGAGTTCCAGTGGTGCAAGCGTCTTGCGGAATCCCCGTGGTTCCGACGCGGCTCCTTCGCGCGAGCCCCGCGCGGTTGTTTTCGCCGTGAGAGTTCGCCACAAGGAAGCTGCTCATTGGTAGTCTCCTCTGGTCGGCCAAGGCGCCGAAAGTTGCGCCGTGCTGGGCACGCGCTTGAGCTCAGAACTGCAGTCGTCCAGTCAGCCGAAGCCGCCATCCTCCTGGAGCTTCAGTATTCAGTATTCACCATCGATCTCACCACGGGACACCACAGGACACCGACGGGGCACCGACGGGACACCCGCGGGACACCGACGGAACACCGACGGGACACCACGGGACACCATCGGGCACCAATCAATATCAGTTTCGCTATCATTCTCGATCTCGCCATCGGTCGCACTATCGATCTGATTCGCTCGATGTCATTATCGATCCTCTTATCGGTTCCACTGTCCGTTTCGCGATTGATCTCACCAGGGAACACCGTCGGGGCACCGACGAGACACCGACGGGACACCAACGAGACACCGACGGGAAAACCACGGGACAGCCGCGGGCCAGCCACGGGACAGCCACATAACACCAACGGGACACCGACGGTATTCCGACGGGGAACCACGGCGGGACAACCCAGCCACCGCCCGCCCACCGCGGGGGAGAGGCGGACAGCGACGGGACACCACGGTGGGACAATCCGGCCTTCGCCCGCTTACGGGGAGTGAGGCAGGGCGGTCAACGGTTCTTGGTCCGCTCTGGCCACAACGGGGTCATTCTTCTCGCCCGCCCACGCAGCTTCGCGTCGCCCGCCCGCACGACACGAACCCGAAACCGAAACCGATTTCCAGGTGGGGGGCACTCTGTTCTACTTCGATCTCACCCCCCAGTCCGATTTCTCAAAACGTCATTAGCAGCCATTGTGCAACTTATCTTTCTGTGGTCGCTTGGGGAATTGGTCGTCGCCGCGAGTCGCGTCGGTTCGGGCAGGGTGTCCAGTACAGCATTTGAGAGGGAACGCCCGCAGATGGCGGGGGGCAAGCGAAGCAATGCACTTGCAGCGGCCTGCGCTTTGGCCGTTTGGCACTATCCGCACATACCCCTTGTTTCCTGCATCCTGGTTGCCTTCTGGCTCATCCATGTGGGCGAGTCAAAACACGGAGTCGTCTGCGCCGACATTCGAGTTTAAGCTGCCCGCGTAAGGTCGCGCGTAAACGCCATCGCCTCAAATGTGGCGTGCCGCGCGGGCGGCGCGCGCAAGCCACCGCGCAAGGTCGCTGTGCCATCTCGCGGAAGGCCTTTGGCCGCCTGCTTGCTGCCCCCCCTGCCTCTTGGTATCGCTCGGACGTGCTCTTTTTTGGGGGGCGAGGGCCATCGGGGAACATCCTGGATCATATGGCAAAATCGGAAACTGGAACCTATGAATCACCAGTGGCGCGCTGTCGACCCCAGGGCATTTTCAGGGTCGGGGACGACGTCGGGACGGCGTGGTGTATACTTGTTGTCCCCGTTTTCCCGAACAAAACGAAACATCTATACACAAGGATCTCATATACATCAGTGCGCGGTCGGAAAAAAACGTCGGTGTATAGAGTTCGGCTCTCTACAAAACACGACATCGACAAGTACACAGGAAATAGACGTCCGAACGATGGCAGGCAGAGAGCCAGCCTCTTGTCCACAGCGTGGCAGGCAGTTCGATCTCCCCTCCCTTTGCCTTGCACGGCTCGGGGAATCTCCAGCCGCGCTGGGGCAGACGCCGCCAGCGGCGGATCCAGGACGACGAGGGGAGGAGGATGGCTTGCTCGCGGTGCGTGGTGGTTCGGGGCATCGGCGCTTCCACATTTTGGGGAAAGCCTGCACGCGACCAGCAGGTGCGGGCAAGCGGGCCATACATCGGCGTGCTCGGGGCCTAATTCGATACCAAATCAGTGAGCCTTGTGTACCATCTTGATTCCGTCGTCAGCGTGGATTAGCGTCTGTGAGCCGATGAGATAGCGCCGATTTAGCATCGGTTAGTGTCGATGAGCGTCGATTTAGCTTCGATTAGCGTCGAGTTAGCGCCGACTAGCGCAGATTCGCAGGAGCTGACACGATGTTATCGGAGGCTCCCATGAGTTGCCACCGAAGGAGGAGGAGGAGGAGGAGGAGGAGGAGGAGGAGGAGAAGGAGGAGGAGGAGGAGGAGGAGGAGGAGGAGGAGGGGGAGTAGGAGGGGGAGGGGGAGGGGGAGGGGGAGGGGGACAAGCTAGGTACGCTCGCGTCATATCTGACATCCTACCCCTCCCTCCCATCCCTTACCATGGCGCAGATCCCCTCTCTACTCGCACAGTCGGATGTCGAGCAGGGCAATGATCCCGAAAGGGTACGCGATGCATTTTAGAGCACGGCACGGCATGGCGTAGAAGAGCACCGCAAAGCGTAGTATCAACCTAGCATTGCATTGCATGTCGTGGCATGGCACGGGAAATGACGCCAGCGCTGCAGCGGGAGCACGAGTCGAAACGAGCGGAAGCACGGAAATGAGGCCAGCGCTGCAGCGGGAGCACGATTCGGAACGAGCGGAAGCACGGAAATGAGGCCAGCGCTGCAGCGGGAGCACGATTCGGAATGAGCGGGGCCCGAAAATGAGGCCGGCGCCTGAGCGAGAGCAGCATTATTGAAAAACATGCAGGCGAAAACCCAACTTCGGGGAAACCTGTGTGTAAGAAAACAATACGCGGGGGGGTCGGACACTCCCAGGCCGTCATCAGGGGAAGAGGGAGAGTAGTATTCATATTGAGTGATTGTGGAGGAGGAGGAGGAGGTGGAGGAGGAGGAGGAGGAGGAGGAGGATGGCTTGCTCGCTTGACTTCTCTGCCCGCGCTCCGCTTTTCGCGCGGCCCGAGCCGTCCCTTTGAGGGCGTGGCGCCTCTCGGGCTCTGCGATGACCCACGCCCGGGCCAGTGGAAGCGGCCTCCGTGGTGGCCCTGGCGCGTTTGCCCAACGACCCGACCGGGGGGGGGGAGAGGGATTGTCGCGAAATACGAGTGCAGGGTTGTGAGCGGGGATAGGGAAAGGAGGGAGGGAGGGAGAGCAAGAAAGAGTGAGAGAGATAGAGAGAAAGGTAGAACAAGAGAGAGAGATCGAAACAGTTCGACGAGCCGAAATCCGTCTGCCGCGAGAGCTGCAACCGCCCTCCGCGCCAACCTCATGTGGCGGGAGGTGCCGCTGTCTGAGCTGGGGTGGGGAGACTACTCCCCCCTGGCGTGGTCTGCAGGGGCCCCGAGTGTAAAACAGAGGCGGGACGTCGCGACGAGAGCGTGCAACGCTCCGTCTGCACACCCGCGTGCAGACAAACGCCGGCTGCACACATGTTTTGGCATACGTGAGTGGTACGGCGCCCTGGCAGTAGCGACGCCCCAACAAACAGGCAGCAGAACCAGGGCCCACAGTTCAGGGTGCCTGCGATGATGGGGGGCGCTGGCACCGGTGTGCCGCGCGAGGGGCAGCAAGGGGGGCCTGGAGACTGTCCTGGAGGGGCGCCCCAAGGGAGGCGGCAGGCCGGAAGGCCTGCTGCAGGTCGTCCCGGGCCGCGTGTGCAGGCCAGGAACCTGTCAAGCAGCAGAGCCGATTGTCCGTGGACGTGCTGGAAGGATTTGGCGAGGTGGTTGGCATCGTTGTTGCAGCGCGTTGATGCCAGCTATGTTAGGGAGACGAAACAATGATCGGAAACTTGAACGAATACATTATCAGTGGCGGGTTGTTTTCAATCCCACGACTTTTCAAGGGTCAGGCACGACGTCGGGGTGGTGTGGTGTATTCTTCCCACCCGTTTTCCAAGGGAAACAACGAAAAATGTATACACCAGGATCCCGTATACACCAGAATCCGCGTTCCTGAGCGAATTTCAGCGCAGGGTCGGGAAAAGCGTCGGTGTATAGAGTTCGTTTCCCCTAATGACGTAAACTTAAATCCGCGCCGGACCCCCCTCCCTGGCGCGTGGAGCGCGCCAGGGGCGGCGCCGGAGTCGCCGGCACGGGGCCCCCGCGCCGATGTGAGAAATCTGCGCGGACCTCCGAGATATTATGTTCATGCCAGTGTTCATTCCCTCTGTGGCCCGAGCCACGGTCGCCGTCAGGCTGCCGATTGGCAGCCGTGAAGTGTTGCGCGAGGCTTTGCTTGCGAACGGATTGCTGGGTGCCCGAAGATCCGTGCCCTGTGCTGGTGGTGGATCTTAGCGTTCACTGCTCTCCGTACCCTTGGTGGGTGGAGGCGTTAGCGTGTTGGTGGTGGCCGCATGGTTTTGCCCGTGGAGGGTGCAAGATTGGCATGCGTTGCGAGGGTGGGTGTGGTCACTGAGTTCTAAGCGTGGGAGATCTGCAGTGCCCTCAACACTTGGCAGCTTCTTATTGTGCTAAGGTGTACGAAGGTAAACGGATTCGTTGTGCTGCTATCTTGTTCAAGAATTTCATTGACGTGGGAGAATTTGCAGCGGTGGTTCCCTTAGCCCATGGAAGCTTCACAGGAGGACGAGAAACGTTGAAAGGCATTTATCCAGTGTGAGCTCACATGGGGAAGCGGCATGTAGACGCTGCTATCTCTGTTTTTGTGGATTCCCTAGCAGCCCTTACAACAAATATTTGCATCGTGATGATCTTCCAAGGAAAGGATTTGCGTGTACGGGACATGCTGTGGTTTCGACCATGTTGTATCCTGTCATGGCTTTACAACTATGAATCCCTTATGCTACGATTTTGCAAACAAATCTTCAGCGCGGGGGATCTGCATAGGCAGCGTCGCGGAAATGTGGAATTTCCATCGATGGAAACATGGCAAACACACGTGACACACAGTGGAAACGATGTGTTCTCACACTGGTAAAGATGGAGTCGGAGGAACACCTGTGACAAATGTTGTTTTCGCAGACACTAGCATTCAAGTCCTTATGTATTAACCTTTACATGCAAAAACAAGGTTCCTTGTGCGTGCGAGTGGGTATGTTGAACATGTTTGCGCGTGGGGGGTCCGCGGAAACGGCGCCGTGGGATCGTGGACGTTCGACAAGAAAACATTGGAAGACATGTGGACATGTGGGGCAATTGCGCTATCATTTAGGCGCATGGGCAACATCTAGGACAACTCATGGGTGTCGTTTATTTTTGCAGACACCTCACAATAAAACAATTTGTTCCGTAGCAATATGTGCACACCTATTCCGTAGCAATATGTGCAAACGGCTTTTTAGTTTTGCGATTTGAAATGGGCTCCGCAGTTCAAATATTTGCGCAGCGGCCCTTGCAAAGGGATTCCTTCTGTGGGTCATTCTACACCTAGCTTAACCATTATACACCCCAGCGGAAACGGGGGTCTGGAGGTACGGGTGGTAACGGGGCACAAAACAGATGTATGGATTTTTTGGATCCCAGATCATTGACTGAGCGGTGGACTAGGAACAGAGGCAGTAATAATTGTAGTTGCAGAAACACTTGCAGTAATTACAGTAGTTGCAGTAGCGCCGTCCAGTAAGTATAGTCAGTACGTGTAGGACTCGCAATCGTGATGGTCTTGGTATAGCCGTATTGGCGCGAGAACCACTATAAGTTGGTGCAGTTCTTCCAAATGTCACATAAAGACATCAACTACCAGAGACTAGCCGAACGTAGGAGCACATGTCTCGATATGTGTAAGGTGCTGTTGTATGGGGCCTTGCAAGCGCGTGTAAGTGGAAAGCCTCTCTCCCCATAAACGGCATGCATCCTTGCGGCACGGGGGGATATACAATTGACGTAGACATGTTCCTTGGCATGATAGTGCGACGCACATACATGTAGATGCAGTGAAAGCGGGAGTTATTGTAGTACGACGGGAGACACATGTGTATTGTAGTGGCCTCCGGCCAGTGCCGCCGATCCGGGGCGCTCCTGATGCTATTGTTGTCGAAATGGACGATGACGACGACAACAGACGACCAACGGTCGACGAGCGGGATAATTACGACGACGACCGACGAAGGAGTTAATGACGACGAACCGACGACGACGACGACGACGACGACGACGACGCCGATCACGACGACGACGACGACGACGACGACGACGACTGACGGCGAACGGCTGCCGACGGCCGACGACCGACGACTGGTGACGGCGACGGGTGGAAGGTTCTTTGTTCATCGCTGTCGCTTCCGAGCAATACCAAGTGAGGCCGTGCACCTCTGGCCTGGCAGCACGCGAGTGAGCGCCTCTTGGGGCCTCTTGGTTCTTTGGGCTTCTTGGAGGCCTTTGGGGCCTCTTGGGGGCCTCTCGGGGTCCTCTTGGGGGCCTCTTGGGGACCTCTCGGGGCCCTCTTGGGGGCCTCTTGGGGACCTCTCGGGGGCCTCTGGGGGCCCCTTGGGGGCGCCTCGGGGGCATCTTGGGGGCTCTTGGGGTCATCTTGGGGTGGAGGATTAGAAGGGTCCCTTCGGATTCACCCTTTTGAGGCCATTTTGGGGGCCTCTCGGGGTCGTCTTGGGGGGCCTCCAGGGCTATATTGGGGCCCTCTTGGACCGTCTTGGCTCCTCTTGGGGGCCTCTTGGGCTGTCTTGGGGCGATCTTGGGGGCCTCTTGGACCGTCTTCGGCGCTTCTAAGACGGAGCAGGCGAGAATGTTAAGATGCTTCAAAACCTATTAGCAACTTTATTCTTGTACCCTTTTGGGGCCCCCTTGGGGGTCCTCTTGGGATCTCCTTCAGGCGTCTTGGAGGCCTCTTGGGCCGTCTTCAGGCCATCTTGGGCGCCCAGGAGCGCTCTTGGGCCGTTTCGGGCGCCTCCTGGACCGTCTTGGTGGCCTCCTGGGCCCCTTTTGGCCCGTCTTGGGGCGGTTTGGGATTCCCGGGAGGGTGGACCCCATGAACTCCCCCCCCCTCCCCCCCCTACTCCAGGAGCGCTCTTGGGCCGTTTCGGGCGCCTCCTGGACCGTCTTGATGGCCTCCTGGGCCCCTTTTGGCCCGTCTTCGGGCGGTTTGGGATTCCCGGGAGGGAGGGGGGAAGAAAGGGTGGACCCCATGAACCCCCCCCCTTCCCCCCGTACCCTGGCAGAGCCCCCCCGGCCCCCCCCCAGCAGAGCTGAAGCTCAGGTTGTAGCTTTCTTCAACTCACACGCCGGATCGGCGGATTTGATCTTGCCATTTCTTCCGAGCCCCTGCTGGGTCACGACATAGCGTGATGATAGAAGGGAGCAGAGTCAGCCGAAAGGATGCCGCAGAGACGAGACGCACTGCTTGAAGGACGGCGGGACGTCGGACAGGCCATTCTGCCCCCCTCCCTTTTCCACCTCGTCTTCCCTCCTCCCCATCTCCCTCCTACACAGTTACGACGTATCACTGCGTGCGACTCGCCGAGCGCCCCGCGGCGGCAGCGGGTGTGGCCGGACTTGCCTGCTGCGGCGATGCCTGGTGCCGGCGGCGGAGGCTGCAGACTCCGGCGGGCATGCGGGGCGACGGCTCGCGCTCGCTCGGGTCGGACGGCTGGGCCGAGGCATCGCAGGGTTGCTGCCGGGGGCCTGCATCAGCAGCCTGGGCCCGAGACGCCCGCGGCCATCGGGGGTCGCGGCGGCGGGCGCTCGCGGAGCGGCTGCTGGCGCGGGTGCACCGCCGCCGGCGCGCAAGCAGGCCGCGGAGGACGCGCGCCGTGCGCCCGGGGGGGTCCGGCGGCGGCGGGCCCTCCCGTCCGCCAGCCGGTGGCGCCGGCGGCTGGCAGCCCCAGCCGCGACGCCGGCGGCCCCGGCCTTGGGTGGCGTCGGAGGCCGCGACCGCCAGCGTGCTGGCTCGGGAGGGCTCGGCTCGGCTCAAGCCTTCCCTGATCATGGCCCATGCGGCGAGGGTTCCATCTGACGGCTGCTCCCGTCTTCCCCTTGAACATGTGTTGTTCCATGCTGGCCCCGTCTTTCCCTCGCCAGCTTCTTCTTCTTCTTCTTCTTCTTTTTCTTCCGCGCACCAGGCTTCAAACACTGAAGTGTTTTCCTGTTCGATTGGACAGCTCTCGGCCCCTTAAATGACCCTTAAGCTTCCCAGATGGGGTCCGAGTAGGTGGGTCGGACGATCGCGCCTCATTGCATCGACGATGCGGCTCGATGTGGAGACCGTGCTTCCCCATGCCGACGTCGCCGATGCATCGCGACCCCTCGACCCCATCTACCTGGACCCAATCCAGGAGGCCTCTAAGGACGCTCACGCCACAGCGTTTGCTGCAAGCCGCACTTCAGGATTGGTGCTCTGCCCCCCCCGCCGTCGTGCAGGATGTCGCTCTTGTCCTCCAGTGCGTGCCCCACTGCTGGATCCGATTCCTCTTCGGTCGTGGCCGCCCCCCACCCTTCTCGCTCCTCGGCCTTCCCCTCCTCTTCCTGCTCTGCTGCTTCTTATCGTTGTTCTCTTCTTCATTCTTCCTCATCAACTTCCTCTGGCTCCTGCCTATCCGCCACTTCCCGTCCGCTGTTCGAAGGTCCCCCGTTAGTATGCACCACAGACCATGCGGCCGATTTGGGGAGCAAGGTTCTCTATGACACCCCAGTCGGCGGATACAGGAGAAATCAATGTAATGGAAAGAATGGGTGGGAGGGACAGGATGCCAGAAATGGCGCCAGCGCACCGAGCTTGTCTTCCCACCTTCTCCTATTGTTCTTCTCCCCTTGCCCCAACTTGCACCATATAGCTTGCACCATGTAGCTTGCACCACAGCTTGCACCACGTAGCCTGCACCATATAGCTTGCACCACCTGGACTGCACCACCTAACTTGCGTCGCAGAGCTTGCACCAAGTAGCTTGCACCACATTGCCTAGGTCGATATCGAATGGTAATTACTATGACTCCCTCTCGTGCCTGCGCATCGTGCGTTGGCAGGGGTCTCGCAACGTCCCTATATGGAGATAGCTGCTTGCGTCCTCTGCGCTCAGGGGCAGCTGAGGCAGTCGTGACAAGTCGATGCGTTTGAGGTCTGACCGGGATCCGCGCGGCCAGGCTCTTCGGGCGCATTCTGCTCCAGTCCACGATGACCAAGCGATGTTTGCTGTGGTGCGCGAAGGGTGTCCAGGCTGATGACCACGTGCTTTGCGTCTGTTCCTATTTCCTATGTGGACAACCTCCCTGAATGGCGCGACTAGCATCCTGGACGACTTCGATTTCGAAGAGCAGTTGGAACGGAATGGGCCCTCTACATCAAGCCGTCCTCCTGGTCCTGCATGGCTGCCGCGGGGTCAACCGCGGAAGCGATACCCACAAAGTGGCCAAGCGTCTATGAGGTCATCGTCCTGGGACACACGCTGTAGGACACGGGATCCATCTGGGCCTGTTGGCGGAATACCCGCGATGCCGTGTGGCGTGATTTCTGGGCCAGCCCCGGGGTCCGAAGCCGCCCGCGGGCTTGCGATGCGTGGGCGCCTTCGTCTTCTGGACCAGGCAGTCCTACCCGAGACGGGCTTCGGTCGTCGCGACGGCTTCCAGACCCGCGCGTAGCTGATGGGGTGGGCGTCCTCCAACGCCGGATGGCTGCCACCAGAATGCGGATACCGCCACGCCAGGAGAGGAACCGGCGTGCTGCTTCAGGAGGTGGCCGCGCCGCCGCAGCCGTGTGCAACGAGCAGGGTGCCTGTTCCAAGCGATGGTTCTTGAGGGCTCCTGACCGGCAGGATCATCTGGACCGACCCAGGAATTCGGAGATGGATTGACCTCTTACCCTGACACGTCGATGAAGGAATTGGCCGTTTTCGGTTCGCGAGAGGGCGTCGCGGCCGTCATTTTTGCGGGTCCGGGTCCGTCGGTTTCGGTCCCAGGCCGTTTTCACTAAGGGGAGGTTTGCTAAAGGGAGGTTTGTCCACCGCCGAGAAATGGCCACCGTTTCACAACCAGTTGTCCAGGTTTCGGGATGGAGTGGTTCACCCAACGCTGGGCCACACTGCTCCCGATCCAGCGAGCCTGACTGGTCGGACAATCGCCCGCGCGCGTCGAGACGTCGCGCGGACGAGGTGGCACGATGGGATGGACATCGCTCTCCGAGGTGTTCTGCTGCCCCAGTGCGTTTCGCACCGTGATGACGTGAGCGATCGAGGCACATTCGGCATATGGTTTCAGCAGCGTGCTGCTCGCCCTTGTGGAGCTAACCGTAGGCCACCTCGAGCTCTTCGTGCCCCCCCCAATGCCACTCGATTCGCTGATTTTGCACGTCGGGAAAAATTGCTGACCACGTCGGGGCCTTCCTGCTCTCAGGACTTCGCTCCTGGGATTGAGTGATCCGTCGCATCCTGGCATGCTCGCATCTTGGCAACTTGGCCCCCCCTGGCATCGGTGGCCTCCCCGATAACGCTGGCTCCCCTGGCGTCCAGTCCCAGGTTCCACAGGTCTGGCAGAGTCGACAGGGTGCCAGAGGCCCCTCAACCGGCACATGCTCCACAGGCTGCACAGGTCCCACAAGTTTCGCAGGTTTCAGAAGTCCTGCAGGTTGCGCAGGTCGTACAGGTCCCATGGGATTCACAAGTCTCATGCAGTCGGACCGAGGCGTTGGGTCGAGATCTGTTCGGGGAGGGTGCCCTGATGTTCTTCGTGCTTGTTGGATGGCCTTGTGTGTTTTGGCAGGTGGAGGGTCTCTTGTTCTCGAAGGATGTTCTTCTGTCCCAGGTCCGATTGTATGCCCCGCAGGCCGCGCAGGTGGCATCGTGCAGCACCCTCAGGTCGCACGCGTCCTACATGCTGCACAGGCCCAACGGTTCCCGCAGATCGTACAGTACGCGTCCCACATGCTCGACAGGGCGCGTAAGTCCAGCAGATGCCGCAGGTCCCCCCCTGTCAGCGGGCTCGAACGTGGTGCCGCGACTTTGCGTGGGCGGCCGCTGCTCGACCCTTGCGTTGCCATGATCGGAGACCAGGCAAGTGTCAGGCAGCACATCTTCGGAGGCCCGTGTGTTCTTTCCCCGAAGGCACGTTTTGCATGCACTTCTCATCCCGTGTCATGCGCAGGACCGTCTCTGTTTGTGCTGACATCCGCTTCACCGTCAGGGTAATCAATTATTCTGAGGCGCCCTCGAGCCGCGTTTTTCGCAATGTGGTCCTGCCAGGCCACGGTGGAAAGAGGGGGAGGCATGAGGAGTGAGGAGGAGGACGAGGGCGAGGAGGAGGAGGAGGAGGAGGAGGAGGAGGAGGAGGGGGACGAGGAGGAGGAGGAGGAAGAATGGGTGGGGGAGGAGAGCGGACTGCGGCCCCGTGGCGGCGCGCACCGCCCGAGGACCGGGACCGCCGATGCCGAGACGGCAGGCTCCCGCGGGGGGGAGGGGGGGAGCCCTGAGACGGGGGTCAATGCCAACGGCGGTCAGCCGGAGCGCCCGATCTTGCAGGATCCCGCAGGGCCAGGGTCGCCTCGACCCCGGTTTGAGTGCAGGATTTGTTGCAGGAGTTTGCAGGGCCCTTCGCAGTGACCCGGGTTTGGGTGCAGGATCTTGCAGGATCTTGCAGGATTCTGTACGGCCTGACTGACCCGGGTCTGGATTGACCCGGGTCAGAAGACCCCCGAGGAGGGGGGAAAGTGGACGGGGCAGGGGTGCGTTTTTTGTCAGGTCTTCGCCGTTGCTTTCCCCAGCACTTACTCATAGAGAGGTTACGATCCCCACGCTCCAGCCCGAGGAGGCAAGGGCCATGTCCTGACGAGAGTGCGAATTCGAATGCGAAGATCGCACACGAAGCGTGGCTTCCGCTTCCTTCCCCCTCCCCGTTCGCCTTTGTCCACGTCCCCATCCACGCCCCCCCTCCCCGTCCAGGGAGGGTGTCTTGGCGTTCCAGGCCAGGGGGTCTACGAGACCCTCGCGAGTCCAGGGAGTGCTGTGAGTAGTTGGGAATCGCGGGTGGGAGTCCTGCGGCTGCCTCTGGGTTCTAAGGAGTCCAGGGGCTCGTTGGGGTGTTCAGAGGGTCCTGGGGGGTCCTGGGAGTCCAAAGTGTCTGGCGGTCGACGGGGCGTAGGGAGTCCTGCGAGTCTGGGGAGTCCAGGGGGTGTGCGGAGTCTTGGGGGGCCCAGGGAGTCATGGGAGTTCAGGGAGTCTAGGGAGTCATGGATGGTCATGTAGTCGTGGGAGTCCCGAGAGTCTGGGGGTCTACAGGAGTTTGGGGAGTTCTGAGGATCCTGGGAGTTCAGGGGGTCTGGGCATTCCTTGGGGTCCTGGGAGTTTGAGTCCTGGCGTGGTCTGGGGGGTCCAATGAGTCCTAGGTGTCCAGCTTGTCCAGGGATTGTTGTTTTTGCTGCGCCCACGCGCCTTGCCTGATCGTGTGAGGCTAGGGGGGTCGCTCACCCTTCACTTGTCCTCTTCTTCACTTGTCCTCTTCAAACTCCTCATTACTTATTTCCATTTTCTTTTTTCTCGTCCTCTTCCTCGTCCTCCATGTCCTACACGTCTGGGTCCAGTCTGGACTTTGAAGATCGCCTTCCTTACTTAGACCTCAACCTGGCTGTGCTACCTTTGTTGTTGTTTGTCGCCCCGCCCCGCGACCTACCCTCACCCCCACGACCCATCCACGTTGTCTTGCAGTATGATCACAGGAACTCGAATCTGCCTGTCGTCCTCCCACAGGGCGGCATGCTACATTCCATTAAGTTTGTAAGGCGCGTGTTCTCTGGATTCTTGGTCTCGGAGCTGGAATTATAGCGCAGTTGAGGCTAGGGCTGCTGCTGGGGCCGGGGCTGGAGCTGCAGCAGGGGCCAGGGGCATAAGCTTGAGCGAAGCTGCACCTGGGGCTGGAGTTCCGGCTGCAGCCGCAGCTGGAGTTCAACGGAGAACTGGTCTCGATCTGAGCCTATCTGGAGTTTGAGCCTGAGCTGGAGCTGGAGCTGGATCTGAAGCCCGGCTGCGGCTCGATCTGGGGAGCCCCGCTGGAGCTGGACCTGCGGATGGGTTTTAGCCGGAAGTAGCGCTGGAGTTAAGCTGGAGCTTGAGCTGGAGCTGGAACTGGTGCTGGGCTGGAGCTGATTTGAAGCTGAAGGCTGGAACCGTCGCTGGAGCTGCAGCAAGAGCTGACGCTGGATCTGAACTGGAACTGGAGCTCGAGCTAGAGAGGAGTTCTTGCAGCATGAGGAGGGATTGGGAATGGCAAAATCAGGCCGTTGAGTTGAGCTTTGGTAATATGCGGAGCACCAGGCGCTAGACAGTTTCACTAAGGTGTTGAAGATCAGCCCTGGGAGTGGATTTCTGACAACACCAAGAGCTCGAAACTCTGATCTGTTGGCTCTGAACACGCCCCAAAAGCAGGCCTGATCGTGGCGCCCGAACCTTCGAATTCATGCCCGGAACTGCAATACGGCAAAACGACAAGCCAACACATTGTACGGGTTGCGCTTGGATGGTCAACATCAGTCCCAGGCGCAGAGTTTTGGGAAGATGTTGCCACGGGCGGTGAGGGTTGCGTTGGGACGATCGAAATCATCTCGCGCGCAACAGTTCGGAACTCCGAACTGCGATCGTGTTTCGGGCGGAGCGGGGCCAGATCAGATCGCGCATATTTTCTCGGAGCCAGAGTTGCGAGGATGTCTCAAGCGAAGTGCGCCGGACCACCTGCAGACATGTTAGGATGTTTCAGGCGAGCCGTGCAGGACCACCTCGCGCTTGGCAGCTCGAAATTCAGAGTTGCGAGGATGTCTAGAGCGAAACATCTCGCGCGAGGCATCTCGGAGCCCAGAATTGCAAGGATGCCTCAGGCGAAACGAGCCAGACCACCCCGCGCGCGGCATCTCGAAGCTCAGAGCTGCGCCAACTCGACAACGAAAGTGTAATCAAATGGTTCGTTTGGGTCTGGCCCCTCCTCCCTCCTCTCTTGTTCCTCGAAGCGCGAAAGTGCGACGGTGTCTGAAGCGAAACGCGCCACACCACCTCGAGCGCAGCTTCTAAAGACCCACAGTTGCAAGGATGTTTCACGCGAAACCCGCCAGACCCCCTCGCGCGAGGCGCCTTGGAGCCCAGAATTGCGCGCGGCGCGCGGATGTCTCAAGCGAAACACGCTGAACCACCTCTCGCGCGGCATCTCGGAGCGCAGAGCTGCGAGGATGTCTCAGGCGGAACGGGCCGGACCACCTGTCGCGCAACGTCTCCGAGCTCAGAGTTCCCGAGAACGTTTCAAGCGAAACTCGCCGGACCGCCTCGCGCGCGGCATCTCGAAGCCCAGAACTCAGGCGGAATTGGCCGGACCACCTCGCGAGCGGCATCTCTGAGCCCAGAGCCGTTGAGATGTCACAGATGTCTCAAGCGGATCGGGCTGGGCAGCTTCGCGCAGAGCATATCGGAGTCCATAGTTGCGAGGATTTCTCAGGCGAGACAGGCTGGACCACCTCGCGCGTGGGAGCTCAGAGTTGCGAGGATTGATCAAGCTGCGCCCAGACCCCTCCCAGAGCACATTTCGACGACAGAAGCGTGATCAATCGAGTGGTTCGTTTGGGTCTGACCTCTCCTACCTCCCTCCTCCCTCTCGGAGCCCAGAAGTTCGAGGGTGTCTCAGGCGAGACGCCTCGAACCACCTCGCACGCAGCATGTCCCAGCCCAGAGTTGCGAGGATGTTTGAAGCGAATCGCGCCTGGCCACCTCGCGCGCAGCATCTTGGAGCCAAGAGTTGCGATGATGCCTCAGGAAAAACAGGCAGCACCACCTCGCGGGCGGCACCTTGGGGCTCAGAGTTGCGAGGATGTCTCAGCTTGGAGGCGGTTTTGGGATGTTTGGGGGCCTCTTGGAGTTTGATTTGGGCTTGTGGCGGGGCTCCTGGAGCTTCTCTTGGGCCTCTAGAGGGCTTGCTGGCGGTCTCGGTGGTTCTTTTGGGACGGTGGGCTCGAAATTTCAGTTCGCCTTCTCTGTGGCCTCTCTTGGGCCCCTCTTCGGCCGTCGTACTCCTTGGGCCGTCCTGGGACTCTCTTCTCTAGGACCGTGTGGGGGGGGCCCTCTTGACCCGTCTAGGGGCCCTCGTGCCTCTGGAACAAGTCATTCGACAAGCCGCGGTGCGCCCCAGGAAGTCTGAAGAGTTCGGGTCTGGGCCCCTGAATATTCGATCCTCAGGATAGGACGGAGAAATCAAGGGACCTGAGGATGCTCCAACCAGTGCCTCGCGGCACGGTTGCGGATACTGCTACCACGCGCGAGTTTCACCAGTTATGCTGCGAGAGTGCAGGAGTCATTCTTCGGGTCCCGCGCTGTGCACAATGTTTTGTTGCCTCGACCGTTATGAGCATACGTTGGATAGTTGAGGTCACCACCCCTTTGCGCCGCCGCCGGGGCCCTCGTGGCCGTGCGGCCAGCCGTCACTCCCGCCCGCCGTGCATGCTGAGCGCGCCGCGGTACCCGAGGTGCGGCCCCAGACCGTGACCGCGGTGAGGCCCCGGCTTTTTGTGCCCCTGCCTCGCCTGGCGCCCCCAGCTGCCCGGAGGGCCCTCCGGAGGCCTCGCCCGACCACCGCGCACTTCGGGGGCCCCCAAACGGGGCGGTGACCAGACCGTGCGGCGAGTCGGTGGGGGTTCGGGGTCTCCGCACGGTTTTGGGACTCGGGTCGTTCTCCGACCGTGCGTGACGGACCGTGCGGTGAGGTCTTGGGGCATTGCGAGGTCACCGCACGGTGTGTCACCGCACCGTTTCGGGACTCCAGGGCCCTCCTCCCGAGACGCCCCGCCCGTCCGCGCGGGTGCGCCAGCCACGGACACTCGGGTGCCGGGCGGCCAGCCGCCACCGCCAGCGGCTCTGCCGCCCGCCCTGGGCGCCCTCAACCCCCCGTGCCGCGGCCGCCACGTCGAGCGGGAGGGTGCACGCGAGAGCCCAGCCGTGAGCCGAAGAGATGGGATCGCGGAGGAGGGATGGGGGGGAGGAGGGGAAGGAGGAGGAGGAGGGGGAGCTGGGAGGTGGAGGCAGCTGGTGGAGAAAGGGTGGGACGGGGCTGGGTAGGATGATCCCCCGACCGTTGCTCTCGGGCTGGTGTGACTGGCCAGGCGCAGCGGCAGCCGAGGCGGCGGTCGACCAGGCGTTCCTCTTTGACCGCCCTCCGACCTGCCTCTTTCCGATTGTTTCCCTCATGCTCCCTCTGGCTGCTCCGCCCACCGCTGTTTTTGCTGCGCCTCCTCCTCCTGCTGCTTCTGCTCCTGCCGCCCCCCCTTCCCCCCTTCCCGGGGGGGGGGTCCTTGAAGGGTTCCGAGGGGAGAGTCCTGGGGGGGGGGGTCCTTGGTACCCCCGGAAACATCTTGGGGATGCGCAAATCATTGAGAAACCGCCCAATGGAGGACCCCCCCCCTCCCCCTTCCCCCCCCGGCGGAGCCACCCCGGCGACGCCCCCCAAGCAGAGCTGAAGCTCTTGCTTAAGCTCAGAGCTGAAGCTCTTGCTGAGGTCCATGTAGTTCACACGCCGGATCGGCGGATTTTGTATTTTTGTTGGCCAGGACAGTTTGGCCAACGAGCAGCAGACAGTAAGAGGACCCCCCCCGTCGTCCCTGTCAAAAGCCATTGCGAAGTGGTCGGGCGCCTTCGCATGCTCCAGAATCGGAGGCGAGCTATGTTTTTTCTATTTTTTTTGTTAAGGATGGTGGGCTTGCGCGCAGCAAGCAATATGAGAACACCCCCGCCGTCCCTACCAAACACAATGCAAGGTGGTCGCCGAGCGCCCGCGCATGCTCCATATTCCGAGGCAAAGTGTATGTGGTATTATTCGACAGGAGTTGCGGCGCGGTGGGTGTTGGCACGGGGACGGGCTGGCTGCTGCTCGCCTGGGAGAGGGGGGATTGTTGATAGCGAGCTGTGAGGGAGGGTTGTTAGAGGAAACTCCCTGAACCACTCACGCCCAGAGGACTGGTGGGCTTCCTGGCCTGGTCAGTCCGTGGGACGATGCAACACATGTCGGCTGTAATTATCTGACGGTCCTGGTATCGAGAGAGACTGCGTGGCAGGAGGGCGTGCTGGGGTTTTTACAGCACTGAGCGTTGACCGCGCGTTTTGTGCAAGCGATTCACGTCAAAATTTAAGTCAGCGCAATCCTGCATCCTGTGGTTTTCGTAGAGGGCATGCGTGCTACCAGCATGCCTCCATTGCAGGGACGCCGGCCCAGCTACGACAGAATCGTTCTTTCGCTTGTTCATTAGTCCCGAGCGCCTTCGCCACGGATCAGCAGTCACAAGTAGTTCATCTCCAATGTGGGCGTTCGCTGGCGAGGATGTGGCCCCTATGGGGCTGCGCGGTGGGAGCCCACCTGATTTCGCGACGCACATCAGCGGTCTGATGAGATTTTGCCAGCACCATTCAAACATGCCGATTGGGTTTGAGAGGAAGCTCTTAGTTTCGCGCGCATAAAGTTCCCACCCCCAGCACCCGTAAGAAACCTGAGGGGTAGTTCGCAGCCGAGCTGCATTGTCATGTGCGACCCGATGTAGTTTGTGACGGCATGGTTTTGAGCTTCGAAGCCCAGGGAACACCCACCGTTCGTTTCGCGCTGCGCGCGTTGACGCGCGATCCCTGGTTCCAACATTTACCCTTCTCTTTTCCCGCCCCCTCTCCCCCACCCCGCCTCCTCGCTGCGCCTGCGAGCACCACTGTGCCCGTGAACACCGCAGTGGTTGTGGGCAGCACGCGACAGATCTGAGAGCATCTCTGGGCCTGTTGGCACCGCAGGGATTGTTAGCATCTCCGTCCCGATGAGCACAAATGAGAATTTGAATTCCGCATTGCTTGTGAGCATCAAGGTGCTCGCAAACACCACGGAGCGCGTTCCACGGACGAAGCTTTCCAGGGTCTGTGGGCAACGGGGCGTGTGCACCAGCACATCCCTGTGAACCCCATGGTAAGGACTGTGCGTGCCACCGTGCACATAGCACCAGATGTGTCATGCTTGGCCTCATCCTGTCTGCCGTCAGCCCCCCCACTGCGGAAATGTGTTACCCATTCTGGCTCAGTAGTTATCACCCATCATTTCGGTTTGTTTATTACTTGTTTGCACCCTCACACGTCAAAGTCATATTCATTGTCAGTGTCGGAGGGGGGAGAAGGATGGAGGCAACCTCAGGAGGGAGTAGAGAGGAGCCAGGACGGGGAGGGGGAGAAGCACTTCGAATCAACAGGACGAGGAGGAGCGATGATGCGGCAGGGAGTAAGAGGTGGATCTACATGGCGAGGAAGATCCGGAGGAGGTACGTACATCTATTCCGATGCATTCGATGTTGCACCTCTTCCCAAGCCTCCACGGTGCTCGACCTCCCAGGCGACCACCGCCGCTGCCAGGACAAGTCCGATGACCGCGCGGGCCGCCGCCAGGAGCCCTGGGTGAGGACCGAGGACGGGGAGGGAGGACGGGTCAACGCAACGGCAGAACAAACGGCGGCGAGCCCAGGGGGGAAGTGAGAAGGAGAAGCCTCCTCAGAAGGCTCGGAAGTCTCCAGATACTCAGAGAACTTTTCGGAAGGCGCCAGTGTTTCCAAGAAGTCCCGCCGCCGTCTGAGGAGGCCTTCTCCTTCTCAATTCCCCCGCTCGCTCGCCGCCAAAAAGAGCAGCAGCAAGACGGAAGGAGGGGTGAGACGGTCATCAGATCAGAAGCCGTGCCAGGACGGCAGATCGACAGCAGTGTCAGCAGACAGAGCGAAACAGCATGTCGTCGAGCAGCGGCTCCAGAACCGTGTCTCAGCCGTTCAAGCAACCGCTGTCTCTGCCCCGAGCGGCAGCCAGACGATCTTCGTCTCCCCCCACGGCCCCGAGCGCTTGCACTCTGGTTCTGCATCCCGAGGGGACTTGTAGACTCCCTCGCTTTCGCACGCCGCCTGGCCGCGCCAGCTGCGTCGACGCAGGCTGGAACATCGATCTGCCAGCAGCATCCGTGCCTGGCATTCGCGCGACTGCCTGCCAAGCAGCTGGTCTGCCAGCGGGTGCGCCGAGGCAGCGTCCCAAACCCACATTTGGCCTGAGGCCCCACCGCGGGCCCGCGGGCGCGCTTCTCCCCACCCCGTGCGTTCGCGCGCGGGCGCGCGTCCGCTCGGGGGCTCTGCCCGCGCGGGCAGCTGGCGGCAGGCCGCCCCCCCGGCGCCGCGGGAGCCCGCGGAGGGGCGCCAGCGGCGCTTGCTTGCTTGGCATCGCTCGGACGTGTGCATTTTTCCGTCGGCGAGGGCCATCGAGGAGCATCCTTGATCATTCGGCGAACAATCCACGCACGAAACCGAAGGAAACACACAGGGAATGGACGTCCGAGCGATGGCGAGACTGTCGCCCGCGGGGGAGGAGGCTCTGCTGCAGGAGGCGGGCACGCCAGAGACCAGGCGGCCGACTCGGCAGCAGGCCGCCGGCGTGCAGCGGCTGGTGAGCCGCCTCGAGCGCGCGCTGCACGTCGGGCGGCGCCTCTACCCCGACGTGCCCCAGGAGGTCCGGGACGATCGAAGTGGGTGCGGAAAGAACGGGTATAAAGACCAACGGCATTTCCTGCTCGTTTTGAACAGGACTCGCTGTCGGCGTCGCCGCGGCCTGTGTCCATGGAAGACAAGAGGCCGCCTGCCCAACCGCGGCCGCTGTCGCTTTTGGACAACACTTGCTGTTGGGCATTGTACCCATTCTTTCTGTACCCATCTCGGGCGTCCGAAGAGATGGCGCAGGCTTGCCGGCAGCTCTGCGAGGCCTGCAACGCCGCGGCCACGGGTACGTTTCAGAAAGAGAAGCTGCAGGGGGCCTAAGACCTGCTCAAAGGGGGCGGAGCAGTTTGCCGAGACGGGCGGCGTCGACCGCGCCGTCACGTGGAACAACATGGCGTGCTGTTGCAGGAGAGTCGGCAAGATCCGGGCGGCGGTGAACTTCTTGAAGCGCGCGCCCCAGGCGGAGGAGCACAGATACGGCGCCGAGGCGGCGCAGACGCACCTCAACCTGCGCGCCACTCTTTCGCAGCTTCGCTGCCACGACGCCGCCATATTCCTCGCGCAGTGCGCCCCCATCCGCGTCTACGAGATGCTGTCGCCCTCCATCATGGTTGGCGAGCTCGGTGGGGCGAAGGAGGCGAGCTCGGAGCCGAAGGAGGCCGTCACCGCGTTATGCATCGCGTACCACAACCTTTCGGTGGAGCACGAGCATCTGCGAAACTGCGAGAGCGCGATGGCCGCCTCCGCGGAGGGCTTGCGGTGGGCGTCCAGGGCCTTGCCCGCGAGCCGCGACCCACGAACATAACCAAGTCCTCCATAGAGGCAATCCAGGTCAGGCTTCCTGCTGCACCAGCTGCGCCGAGGCGAGCGGTCGAGCTCCCGAAGAGGCTCCCGGGCGGCGACCGGACGATGGGCGCCCATGCCGACGGTCCGCCAGAGGGCCCCTGGGCACGCCGGGGGGCCTTGCGGCGCCGCGGGAGCCCGCCGCGGCGCAGGAGTGCACGCGGGCGCCGCCGACGACGAGTTCCCCAAGGGCCCCGCCGCGGCGGAGGCGCCGCAGGCGTGAGTGCTGTCTGGCCGGGGCGCGGACGCCTTCACAGCCGGCGGTCTGAGCGGCGGGGCACAGAACAGACCTATTCGTTGGGCGCTGTCGAAGTCATGGGGCGCGGTCTCATCCGTGTTTTCCGTAATTAACGAAGATGTGTGGGACGAGTTGTTCCATGCATATTCAGCTCTGTTCGATCGCGCGGTCCCCAATCCGCGCAGCAGTTCGGAGACGAAGCACGCCTCGTCAACGCTCTGTTTCCTATTCCTGTTCAGAGAAAGCGGCCCCAGACTGTCTGCAGGATTGTGAACGTACCCCGCGCCTCTCCCAGTCTTTGGGGCACCGCGCATCTGGGGAGGCCACTGGATGTCGGCAGTGATCGGCAGGCCGCGGAGGCACGCGTGCTGCTCCTCTCTGGGAACGGATCGGCCGCTCGGGCCCAGACTCGGCGACGGGCTGCCGATGCGCAGGACGACTCACCACCCACCAAACCACCCCAACCCAACCCGAAGGCTCAGATTTACCCTCGATTTCCAGTGGGGGGGGGTCGGGAAACGTCGAAAAAACACATGTGGAACCCTTACCCCCCCAACCCGAAATTCGGGTCTTCGGGTTGGGTTGGGGTGGTCTGGTAGGTAGTCAACGACGGTCTTGTCCCAGTTTGGAAGCACTCCGCGCGGAGCAGCTCAAAACAGCAGGCTCTTCAAAACTGCGTGTAGACAGGTATCCGATGCACAACTTAAAGCGGTGTCGTCGGCGTATCTAACTCTCGTCTTTTGTGCAGCAGTATTTTTCGAGTCGCATCTGCCATGATAGCGGTCAGTGCAATGATGGGCGACTTCGGGGATAGTAGGCAGCCTTGAACAGCGCCAGCTACCTGCCGGCGGGTGGCGGATTCTTTGCCATCGCCTCGTAGTGTGAACGATTTGCATGTATGGACGGAAGCAACCATGTCGATATAAGTTTCACGGAGACCAGGATTTTCGTAGAGCCACGCGCGCCCCTCCCGGATCGGAGTTGTCGGAAGCCGTCGACCAATCCAGCAATTAGTAATACGGACAGCTCGCCGTCTCTGGGGTCCTGCTTTGGTTCCATGATGCGCTGCGCGGCGAGGATGGCCAGGTCCGCGCCCCTGCCAGGGTGGAAGCTAAACTGATTTCTCGGAGGCGACTCTCCAGTCCTCCATTCCGAATTTTCATCCTGGTTGTGAGAATCTTATATCCCACTGCCAACAGTGAAATAGGACGGTCATTTGATGGCAGCGTTGTGCTGCTCTTCTTGAAAACCTGCAGGTGCCGAAACTGAAGCCGGGATTGATTGAGGGATGCGCAAACCCAATGAATTTCGCCTAGGACAAGAGGGAGCCACGAGATATATAATGGAAGCACGATAGCCCCTTAGCTTCGTCGGGTGCCACCGTTGAGGGCAAGCCGTGCGCGTGGGTGCCATTTGGCCCTCAGGACGGCCGTCTGGCGACCAGACTTGCACAACGAGCAAGGATCATTGGGCATTGTCGGGTCGAGGAGTTACCACCACGTTTTAAAGGACACGAAGGGGCCTTCGGTGAACAAGTGATGGCCTCGAAGGAGGTGAAATCCCTCCCCCTGAAGCTTCTGGCCTGCTAGGAAGTAGTCAGTTTTGGCCATGTTTACTACTGACTGAGGCAGTAGTCGATGGAGCCCCTATTGTGAGGCACCTCCCGTGCGGGACTGAGCTGGTACGACTAGGTTTGCGTAGTTTTGGATCGCGCAACTAACATGAAGCAAATCTCATGAAACAATGCATTAATACAAAGTTGCGTTTCACGGCGATCCCATCACATGACAACGCGTGACCGCGGCTGCTCCCGCGCGAAGCTTGCGCGTGAACGCGGTCCGCATGCAATGTGCGCATTACTTCAAAACAACTTTCTGGGTCAACAGGATGTCGGTGTCAGTTGCGGCGGCGGTGGATGCGACCCTTTCCCACCACCACCGCCACTTCCACCGAGGAAGGATAACGTGCAGCAGAAAGGATAAGTAGAGGGATAATGAGAAGACTATGAAGCGATGGAACATCTACTACCGCTGCGAATGCCACCGCCACCTCGATCGCCACCAGTACCACTCCACCGCCACCACCACGATCCTTTCTGGGTCAAGGGAGGGGCGGTGGTGGTTGTGGCGGTGGATGCGACCTCTCCTACCATTGCCACTCACTTCTGCGAGTGCTTCCATTACTTTTAAAACTACTACCCCACCCCCATCACCACTACAAACACTACTCCGGCACCAACAACGATCCCCGCCTACTACCACCGCCCCCTCCTCCCCCTTTTGTATTTTCCGGCGGCGCTCGTGTGTTAGAGTGGGCAACCGCGCCCCCCTGACATTTTTTTGTTGTTGTTGTTGTTGTTGTTGTTGTTGTTGTTGTTGTTGTTGTTGTTGTTGTTTATGACGGGTGCGCAGAGTGAGAAGGGGAAACCGCTTCCCCCTCCCAACTTCTTCTTGGCGATGTGCATGTGGATATGTCTATATATATACATATATATATAAAGGGATATCTATAGATAGAGAGAGAGAGAGGGAGAGAGAAAGAGAGAGAGAGGGAGAGAAAGAGCGGGAGGGAGGGCGGGAGGGAGAAAGAGAGAGAGAGAGAGAGCGATAGAGAGAGAGAGAGAGAGCAAGAGAGAGACAGCGAGAGAGAGAGAGAGAGAAAGCAAAACGAACATAACATTCAAGAGAGAGAGAGAGAGAGATAACAGCCGTTCTCCTGAAGGGAAGACGACGACAACGGCGGCGGCGGTAGCAACGACGACGACGCTGACGTGGGCCAGAGTCCTCAGGGATGGTTATTTGGGTCCCTTCGGAAATCTCTCGGGGGCCTCTGGGGAGGAGTTTTGGGGCCCCTGGGGGGCCTCTGTGGGGCCTTTTGGGAGCTTATTGGGGGTCTCTTCGGGCTTGCTGGGGAATCTTGGGAGCCTCTTGGGGCCTCTGGGGGACTATGGGGCCTCCTGGGAGCCTCTCGGGGCCGCAGGGTCGACATGTCCGTTCGGGTCCCGCGTTTGGGCACGTTCTTGGAGCCGTCTTGGGGGCGTCTCGGGGCCGTTTTGGAGGCGTGTTGGGCTGCCTTGGGGTCCTTTTAGGCTGTTTTGTTGCCTGGCTGGAGGCCTCTTAGGCCGTTGGGGGCTTCTGGCGCCGTTCTGGAGCGGCGGGAAGTGGCAAAGGTGAAAACGCCCAAGCCTTCACACAACCAACGACAAAGACATGAATTTGGCCTCTTGGGGCCCTGTCGAGTGCGCTCTTGGAAGCGTCTTGGGGTGTCCTGGAAGCCTCCTGGGCATTCTAGAGGGCGTGAAGGCGTTTCGGACCGATCTTTTGGCTAGTACCCTCTTGGACCGTCTCGGCGGCCTCTTGGGACGCGCTTGGCCTGTCTTGGTATTTTCTGAGGCCTGGCGCCCCCCCCCCCATGGGACCCCCCCCCCGCGCGGGGAACGGACCAAAAGGAAGGCGCTTGCCTTCGACTCGATTACCATATTGCTAGATGTTTCTCGCGCTGGCAAGCTTGAGGAGGAGGAGGGCGCAGGGAAAGGGGACGGCGGAGACGAGGACTGACGGAGACGACGGCTCGAACAGCCGAGCCCCTCACCCACGCCGACAGGGCCTGCGGACTTACTCATGTTGCGTTGTGCGTGGATGGTGGGAGGGGTGACCTCTGCTTCCTCCCATGGCTAGCTCTGGTGTTGCATGTGGCCGGGGAGAGCGACTGGAAGAGAGAGAGAGAGAGAGACAGAGAGATAGGGAGCGGGACACATAAGGAGCGATAGAGAGAGAGAGAGAGAGACCGATCGAGAGAGAGAGAGAGAGAGAGACGGAGAGAGAGAGAGAGAGAGACCACAATACACATAAAATACATGAAGCGAGAGAGAGAGAGAGAGGACGCACTCATTGCGCAGAGTGCGAGATAGCAACCTCACCCCCCCAATTCTTCTCAGTGTTGTGTGTGGGTGTAGGAGAGCAGCCACTTCCCACTTCCAGCTCGTTCCCTGTGTTGTGTGTCTGGGTGTACATATACATAGAGAGAGAGGGAGAGAGAGAGAGAGAGAAAGAGAGAGGAGAGAGAGAGAGAGGGAACGAGAGAGAGCGAGAGAGAGAGAGAGAGAGAGAGAGAGAGCGAGCGAGAGAACGAGAGAGAGAGAGAGAAACACATATATATATAGAGAGAGGGAGAGAGAGAGAGGCAGAGAGAGACAGAGAGACAAAGAGAACAGCAGGAGGGAGTGAGGGAGGGAGAGAGAGAGAGCGAGAGAGAGAGAGAGATAGAAAGAGAGAAAGCAACCACTCCCCCTCTCATTTCCTCGTCTGGGGTAACCACTGCTCCCTTCCATTGCCCACTCTGTGTTGTACGGGGAGAGCGCCAGAGAGAGCAACGGCTGCAAATTTGAACCCCCCTCCGCCCCTTCCCTCTCTCCGTCCCTCCTTTCTCCTCCCCTCCCCTCCTTGCCTTTCTCCATCCCTCCGTGCCTTTCCAATAGGAGTACACTAAGAACCCAAGAGGAATGCAGTCGGATTTTCTCCCCCCCTTCCCACCCCATGTCTCCAACGTAAATGCACTACAAACGCAACAGGCACGCAAATGCTATCCAACCCCTTTCCATCCATCCCTCCATCTTCCTCCTCCTCTTCCTCCTCACCCAGTAGGGATGCAATCGAAGAGTCAACAAACATGTGTGTTAGTATGGGATGAAGAGGGAGGAAGGGATTGAGGAATTCGCATTGGATAATTGCAGGAACGCACGGTCGAGGCGCAACATATCCAATATCGAATCACATTCACGTGATGTTAACATTGCAACATAATCTTACGTTCCATGGCGCGGTCATGCAACTTCCACTCCTCCCTCCGTGGCCGTTTTGGTTTCGGTGTCGCAGCTTGTTCACACCGTGCACGTGCATGTTCTTACATGTCGCCTTGGTCCGCCTGTGTTGCAATATAATCGCGTAGGACAAGAGCTTTGCTACATAGAAACACGTGTTGAGTCCACTCGTAAGGTCAAACCGTGGTTCTGTTTAGCGACGTGTGGTTTTTGGTTGTCGTTTTCATTTCTTCTGTTTAGCCTGTAACTGCGTTTTTTTTGCGAGACAGGATTTCTTTTGTGGCGGATTGCATGCCAATTCTTTTTGCGGCGGCTTACATAAGGATTTGATATATGGCGGATTGCGCATTGATCATTTTTTTCGTGGATTTCAAACTGATTCCTTTTGTGGCGGATTGCAGATGGATTCCCATTGTGGCGGATCAGAGATTGATTCCTTTGTGGAGGGGTATGTATATGTAGGGGGAAACCAGGTATGGAAACAAAAACAAATCAATGAAACGTGTGAAACGTGTTGTGTTGTCAATGTTTTTGGTGCCAGAGGAAAGCACAGCAATTCTCACACTTATCATGTTTTGGTTTGTTATTTCTCTTCTTGGTACCCTCTTGAGTGTCCCTCCTCAATATAATCAAGCGGCAATCCGCCACATAAGATTTCCTCCTGTAACCCGCCACACAACGAATCAACTTGTAAGCCGCAACACAAAGAAACACTTTGTAACTTACCACGGAATCGATCCCTTCTGTAATCCGCCACAGAAGGAATCGTTAGCTCATCCGCCACATAATACTAGGCCGCCACAACAAGGAAACAACTCTTAAGCTGCCACATAAGGACTTCAACTGTTAGGCGCCATAAACAAAATCAATGTGTAATCCGCCACAAGAGAGAGAAATAGAGAGAGAGAGAGCGAGTGTGAGAGAGAGAGAGAGAATGAGAGAGAACAAAAAAACCGGAACGCGAGAGAGAGAGAGATAGAGAGAACAACAAAACACGAACGACAGAACCTAATCACACCAACTAAGTCCCCTACTGGCCCCCCCTTGCCCCAAACCACAAGGCGCACGGGAGCCACTGGCCCCCTCACACGTCCCCGCCCCTCCCGTGTGAGTCGACGGGGTCCGAGGTTTCGCAGCCGTGGGCTGGCCTTCCCCATCGAACGCGCTCAGATAGCGGTCGGCCACATGTTGCTAAGGCTTCCTCACAGGCCAAAGGGGGGAGGTCGCCGCAGACGGGTTGAAGTCGATGTAGGTAACGGCGATGTGGGTTTCGGTGCTGTGGGAAGTGCGTGGCTCGCGCTTTCCTGCAGTTCGTTGCGTCGTGTGGCCCCGATCCACTCACCTGGCCTCGTCGGTGCGCCCAGTGGTACGGTAGCAAGTCGTGGGAGCCTTGGCCACTCCTCACCCCCTACCAAACCACCCCAACCCAACCCGAAGGCCCAAATTTGCCCTTCATTTCCAGTGGGGGGGGGGTCGGGGAACATGGAGAACACACATGAAACCCGTACCCCCCCCAACCCGAAATTCGGGTCAAATTCGGGTCTTCGGGTTGGGTTGGGGTGGTCAGCTCCGAGTTTCTTGATAAGCGTCGGGGGGGCGCCACCCCCGCCGAGAGCCCCACATCGACCCCCGTCGCGGGCGGCCACGGCGCGCCGAAGGCGCGTCGACCCCCGTCGCGGCGCGACGACGGAGCGAGGTTGACCCCCGTGGGCCCCCCCCCCCCACGCTTATTAAGAAGCCCAAAGCACCCTCGCAGTTTCGGTTTGTAGCGCTGACTAGCGTCGATTAGCGTCTGAGGGTCGATGAGATAGCGTCGACTTAGCGTGGATTAGCGTCGATTCGCACGAGCCGACAAGAGGGCATGGGAGGCACCCATGAACTGCCACTGGACAGTGGCCGAGCCAGACGGCACAGCGCCAGAAGCCTCCAAAGACAGTGCGCTGGCGATGTCGCCCTGACACCAGCAGTGCTGGTGCCGTGAGCGCCGCCGTGCGCTTGTTGTCTTCCTCGCCACTACGTCGAGCTGAGTTCCTCGTGCTGCTCGCCCAGCTTGACCACATGTCAGGCAACAGGCTTAGCTTGACTGCGTACGTGAGGCAGCCTTGCAGCATAGACATCACGCACCGTGCTTGGCAGACCGTGTTCACGGGCCGCCATTTTCGCGAAGAAGTCGGCCCAGGCATTAGCGTAGAAGTCGTCCACAATATTGCCGTCGAGGAAGGCAGGACACCATGAGAGGCGCCCCCCCTGCAGCCGCGAAAACCGCGCGCCACATGTCGGCGCATTGGTCGGAGGAGTTGGCCAGGCTATCGTCCCAAGAGCTGCCCTCGCGCACCAGCGACTCCAGGTCGGAGACGATGCGACACAACCAGGGCATTTGATTCAAGGCTTGCAGCACCGCAGTCTGCCGATCGTCTGGCGCGGTCATGCCAGCAGTCCGTAAACCACACGCGCGGACGGGGAGGTGGCAATGCGCCATCTGCACGACAGCCTAGCCACAGATGCAGAGCTCGGGCCACGCCTGTTGTAGCCCGAGCCGCTGGCGTAGACGATGGTCGAGTGACAGGATGGGCGATGACCAGTCCCTCCAGAAGTGGATCTCGCCGACGGTCGCTGGATCAGATGGCCGCGGCCGCAGCAGCGTCAGGCCCACCACCAGGTCGAAATTGTCAACGTCGGCGTCCGAGACGCCGAGGTGGCGCGTCTTGGCGAGCCGTTCCCGCATGTGCTCCGCCTCCTCAGAGATGGGGAAGGGGATGGAGAATAATGATGATGATGATGCTGATGATGCTAATGATGATGATGATGATGATGATGATGATGATGATGATGATGATGATGATGATGATGATGATGATGATGATGATGATGATGATGATGATGATGATGGTGATGATGATGATGATGATGATGATGATGATGATGATGATGATGCTGATGTTGATGATGATGATGATGATGATGATGATGATGATGCTGATGATGATGATGATGATGCTGATGATGATGATGATGCTGATGATTATGATGATGATGATGATGATGATGATGATGCTGATGATGATGATGCTGATGATGATGATGATGATGATGATGATGATGATGAGGAGGAGGAGGAGGAGGAGGAGGAGGAGGAGGAGGAGGAGGAGGAGGAGGATCAGGAGCGGCAGAAACAGCGCGAGCATTAACAGGATCAGGAGGATGAGGTCTTCCGCGTGGCGCTGCCGCAACAGGCTCTTTCTCCACCGAGCGTCTCCTGCAGTCCTACTCCAACTCCCTGCCACTCGCCCGACATATTGTTCGATCGGATCGCCATGGCATCCTCTGCGATACACGGTCGGGCGACGTCTGCTCCAATGTTGTTGTCCTGAAGAGGCGCGCCCCATGGCCTCCCATAGCTTCATTGATTTCGATCGAATACATATCTCAATCTAGGGACAAAGACCTGCATGGTGCTGCGGCATTGCACGTATTGCAACCACGCGCAACGTAGAGATGTTGATAGCAGCGAGCGCGCACGAACGAATAGAAAGGGCAATGTCTGGCGCCCTGGGACCCGGCCTGGTACAACCACAGTGTCAATGACAGATGCACAGCAAGTGTCCACATCAATGATGAGTTTTTTTGCCAGATCATTACGAACATCCGCGCAGGGGCAAATCCTGAGGCAGGAGCCCATTGCGCTTGAAAGCAGCCGCTCCAAAGTGCAGTTCAGGAAATCTTGGACAGGACGCAGTATCCAGAGGTTCTGGCCTCACCAGCAAAGCGGCCGCGGCCGATCGCGAAGGCATGGTGTAGATCGCCGACTACCAGTTGTTCCAGATATCTCCTGCAAACAAAAAAGAAACGCCACAGTGTTTTCAGTCTGGAATAGGAAATGCACAATGATGAGTCCCATTTGTGGAAAACCGAGCTCCACTAAATCCGACGTCAGACCAACCCAAAGCAGAATACTCTTATTATTCACATACAGCTCTGCGTCATCCTGCAGAGAGACGTTGACGGCGGCCTCAGCTCCAGCTCGACAGGTCCATCAAGAGGGAGCCAGTCGAGCAGACGCGTGCGCGGATCATGTGATCATGGTAGGTAAGGATGACGAGGGAATACATGCACAGCGGACGGATTCAGCACCTGACGGAATGTGTTATCGAGCTTCAGGTAAAGCAGGACCAATACAGTATCTTGTCCATAATTGCGGACATCGTCGTTAACGCATCACGCCAATCATATCAGCCCGGCGCTTGACGGCCAAACCATGATACATTTTAGCAGCAGTCCGCTAACTTGCAGGACCGGCCACTCGTTCCATCACAAGGTTGAGCAACGCACCTGAGCTAGGCCGACACTAGCTCTGACGGCACGGTTACGCCATGCAGATCAGAGAGCTTTTTGGTCGCACGCCGAGATCGACCTCACCCGTGGACGCTGGTACATCCAAAAACGACAGCACCAACAACAGACTCTATGTCGCACAAAACCTTCACTCCCTCCTTCGCTGCCACCCTCCTCCCTCTCTGCCCCCCTCGGCCTCCCCCGCCCGAGCTGTGACGACGACGACGACGATGATGACGAGGATCGTTATCGCCGTCGTCATCGTCACCTCCCCCCACTCCCAGAACCTTCTCCCCTTCCTGCCTCCCTCGGCCTCCGCCGCCCTCCTCCCGTTGAGCATGCGCCCGCCCGGCCGCAGGAGCGCCGGCGCAGCCGCAGCCAGCGCGGCCACCGGGGCGGCGACTTCTCGTCGGAGCGCGAGGCGCCGCCCCCCGCTCTCGGAGGCGACGACGGGGGCGAACAGCCCAGGGGAAAGCAATACAGGTACCCAGGTGCGCCGATGGTCCATGTCTTCGACAAGGCTCCCGGGGGAATACATGGAATGCCCTCCCCTGGGCTATTTGCCCCCGTCGTCGCCCCCGACGCTCCGTGCCCCCCTCGTCCTCCTCCTCCTCCTCCTCGTCCTCCTCCTCCTCCTCCTCCTCCTCCCCTCTGTCGCAGCGTTGGGGGGCAGGAGGGCGAGGACCACACGTCGCAGGCGATGTTTCTCCCCCCATCCCCGAGCTCCGCCCGAAAAGTTTTTTTTTTGTTTCCTCTCTCCAAGTATGTATATGTATATATGTATATATATATATATATATATATATATATCGGTCAGAGAAATGGGAGAGAAGCTCTGGACTACACCCCCAGAAAAGGGTCCCTTCGGACGCACCCCCGATCGAGGCTGGACGCCCCCCCCCCATCGTGTAGCCCAGGGTTGGGCCCCAAGTCTCTGGTCCGTTCGAGAACCCCACGAAGCAGTCGCAGCGTGAGGAGCAGGTGGGCGAGGACCACAGGGAGGCCAGGTAAAACAGGGCTAGGATCGCGATAAATCGCTCCAGAGCGTTCCGGAGCGCTCTCAGAGCGTTCCGGAACGCTCTGGAGCGGCCGCGGCGCCCAATACATCCTCCAAATCCGCCGATTCTCAGAGATTTCGAGTTATCCCGATCCGATTTTGTCCCGATCTTCGCGTCGTTTTACCAGGCACGCTTAATTGATACTGCAGTGCCTCCTCCCGTCCCAGGGCCTCCTGGTGCGTAGCGTGCAGGTGCTCCCTTGCAGTGCCAGGCCTGCCACTGTTCGAGTAGGGGATCGACTGCAGAATCGACTGCACGCCGAATTCACGGGATATGCAATGAAATATGTAGTCGATCCCCTACTCGAAATGTTCCAGGACCCGACTGGGCGCGGGTCGCAATGCACAACCCAGTGGCCCCGCCACAGGTTCGAGGCACGGAGCGTTGGGGCTGGGAAGGGTGGCCCTGGCAGGAATAGAGTGATGGGGGACAGCGCGGCTCTTTACATCACGGCGTAGGACTGGCCACATCAATATTCGACCTCACGATGTGCCCAGCTATTGGTTTAATGTGTTGCATATCGGACTCCCCAGTCGTTGTAGCCGATAAGGCATGCAAGGCCTCACATAATGTCCATAACGCCGACGCATGAGTGTGCTGTTCAAGACCACCCGTCCTCCACGTCAAACCTCTACCACCGTACGTTGCAAGGAGTTTCGAGGCGAGAGCCTGGGAGTGAAGACAGGCCACCCTTCGTCAATGTACTTTCTTGTTATCGTTGCAGATTTCGGTGATCAGTTGTGGAGATGTGCCAAGCCAGAGCGTCGATTTTACAAGACGCAGTCTTCTGTATGCGAAGCTGATCGATGCTGTGGCTTGTACGATCGCACGCCGTGAGGACTCCCGGGCGGACCGCCCGACCCGCACCAGCGACGCGCCTGGTGCTGCGAGAGGGTCGTCACTGCAGCGAGGGCCGCATCTGAGCCAAGCCATGTGCGCCGTGGAGCTCACAAGCCAGGCCGTGTGCGCTGCGGAACTCGCCGCCAAGCCAGGTGCTGCGAGAGACTCGGCACAGCCAAGCCGCGTGCGCTGTGGAGCTCTCAGCAGCGAAGGCCGCCACGGCCGAGGGCCTCCCTCGGCGTGCAGGCGGAGCGGCCTGGCGGCCGCGAGCGGCGGCGCGCACGCAGCGCTCTCCCCCCCGCCGCCCTGCAGGCCGCCTCGCCGTGCCGTGCACCGAGCGCCGCGAGAGCGCGTCGCCAGCGGTCCGACGAGCGGTCGGCGGCGTCGTCGTCGTGGCCCTCGCGACCGGCGAGCAGGCGATCGGCGGCGAGCGGAGGGGGGAAGAGAGAAGGGGCGGGGCTGCTCAGAAGGCCCGGAAGCCCCCCCCAGCCTTCTGAGAGGGCTTCTTCTCAGAGTGCGCAAAGGGCTTCTGAGAAGTCCCGCCGCCTCCTGAGGAGGCCTTCTCCTTCGCACTCCCCCCCCTCGCCCGCCGCCGAAACGGAGCAGAGGAGTGCGTCCCGTGCAGCGTTCCGGGTAAAGACTGTAAGCTTAGCAATACGGCAGTCTCAACATCTTCGAGCGCAGCCTCGAGGAGGTGGTGCAGGATTTGTTGGCAGTCCCCTGGGCCATGAGAGGGCTACATATTGCGTGGCCACCGCTCCACGGCTTTCGAGCGTTCGCGCGACCTCCAGCATCGAGGGCCTTTTCAACAAACCTAGAACCTTCCACTGAGTGCCCACTGTAGAACATGGATGGCGACGTTCCATGGAGTGCCCACGGCACGCTGGCGGCACGCCCTCACTTCCCTGGGCGATGCCGGGCGCGCAGGCGTTACAGTCAACTCGCGCCTCCGAGATGTCCAGAGGAGTGGCGCGTCGCGCAGGTCCAAAAACTCCTGCTCTCGCGTTCCCCGTGCGGCTGCCTCGGGCCCTCGCCCATGCGGCGTCCTTCCGGAGTGCCACGCTGCGCGGGTCCGACTGGTCACCTCGGCTCCAGGTGCTGCCCTGCCAGGAGGGCCCCAGAGAGGGGAGCGATGATGAAGACGCGATCCCCTCGAACATCTGCGCTTGGCCCGTCGCACACCCTCGAGGCCAGCGTGGCATGTTTGTCAAGGGAGGAGGCTCACGCGCCACACCCTGGCCCAGCCCTCCGTGGCCCCTTCATGGCCCCCCCCCCCATATATATATATATATAAATAACATTAAAAAAGACTTCTGGGCACGTCTGGGCACATCGGCGGGTCCAGGCCCTGAAAGCTTCCAGTCTCTGTGCAGCTCACAGCGGTATACGCCCTGGGGTCTTCCCCTACATGCTGACTGGACGTTGGTGGATGCTTCGTGTTGCGTGTTCGCCTCTGGGTTGCTTGATGTTCGTTCATGAATTTGCCAGGACAAGGTCGTTCGACACAGTGCAATCGCCAACTTGTTGTGCCGCATATGTGGTTCTGGGTAATCCGTCGCTGGTCATCCAGCAGCAAGCAGAGCATGATTTACCTACACCTTTCCAAACTGGTTAGATTGTGGTGTCCATAACATCAGTTCATGGAGAAGCGAGGATGATAACGAACCATAGGGAGGGTTGAGGACGAGTGGGAGGAGCAGTTGGATAGACGGGAGGAAGATGGATACGAGGACGATTATTAGGAATGTCAGGAGCAAGAGACGAGCAGGTACAGGAACATAGAGAAAAGGAGGAGGCGGAAGAAAGGGGAGAGGTGGCAGAGGGGGCAGGTGCAGGGCGAGCGGGAGGGGGCTGGGGGGCGGGACGGGGCGAGGGGATATGCAGCAGGGCAGGAAGCGGCAGTGGTACTGGCAGCACAGAAGGGTCTCGGTTGCGGAGAGGGGGTTGGATTGTGGAAGGGGGCGAAGCGGCTTTCACATTAGGCGAACGAGCAATGACATAAGCATAAAAGCTTGGCGGTCCTCGCGGATGTCTCGGATCGGCGCTAAAACCCTCTTCCTGGCGCTCGGAGCGCGCAAGGGGCGGCGCTGGAGGCGCCGCCAGGGGGCCCCCAGTGCCGATCCGAGAAATCCGCGCGGACCCTCGAGTTTTTATGTTAGTGTCATTCTTCGTTCCCCTAGGAAGGGGGCGAAGCGGCCTTGGGTCCACCTCCAATGATGATGATGATGATGATGATGATGATGATGATGATGATGATGATGATGATGATGAGGATGATGCTGATGCTGATGACGATGACGATGACGATGACGATGATGATGATGATGATGATGATGATGATGATGATGATGATGATGATGATGATGATGATGATACTGATAATGATGATGATGATGATGATGATGCTGATGATGCTGATGATGATGATGATGATGATTATGATGATGATGATGCTGATGATGATGATGATGATGAAGCTCATGATGATGATGATGATGATGATGATGATGATGATGATGATGATGATGAAGCTCATGATGATGATGATGAGGATGATGCTGATGATGATGACGATGATGAGAGGATGATGAGAGGAGGATGATGATGATTATAATGATGATGATGCTGATGATGATGATGCTGATGCTGCTGATGATAATACTGCTGAAACTGATGATGCTGCTGCTGCTCATGATGATGATGATGAAACGGATGGCATTGATGATGATAATGATGATTATGCTGATGATGAGGATGGTGGTGATCATGGTGATGATGATGCTGATGTTGATGATGCTGATGGTGGTGATGATGCTGATGATGCTGATGCTGATGACGATGATGATGCCGATGATGATGATGATCATCATGATGATGATGCTTATGTTTGAGAAGATGATGATGATGATGATGATGATGATGATGATGATGATGATGATGATGATGATGATGATGATGATGATGATGATGATGATGATGATGATGATGATGATGATGATGATGATGATGATGATGATGATGATGATGATGATGATGATGATGATGATGATGATGATGAGAGGAGGAGAGACCACCGTGGCGCGGGGAAGGTCGACAGGCGGGACGCCGCTCCCGGAGGGGGGGGGGGCCGGCTGCTGAGGGTGGGGAGGGGGGGGAACGAAGAAGGACACAACATAACATTTCGGAGATCCGCGCGGATTTCTCGGAGGGGGGGGGGCTGAAAACGAAGCAGGAGCAGCGGCTTGCGCGCCCAGGTTGGGTCCCCCCGCGGCCCCCCCCAAAGCCGCGCACCAAAGGTCACTCTTACCCAGGGTCACTCTTGCGTATAGCCGAGGGGGGAACGAAGAAGGACGTAACATAAAAAAAAATCGGAGGCCCGCGCGGATTTCTCGGATCGGCGCTGGCCCCCCTTCCCTGGCGCGCGGAGCGCGCCAGGGGCGGCGCGGGAGGCGCCGCTGGGGGCCCCAGCGCCGATCCGAGAAATCCGTGCGGACCGCCGAGTTTTTATGTTTATGTCTTTTTTCGTTTCCCTAGGGGAGGGTGGTGGTGGTGTTGGGCAGGGCGGAGGGGAGGGAGGGAGAGGGGGGTGTCGATGCCGAACGGCTCTCGGGCAACCTGGCAAAGGCATGGCTCAATCGAACAATGAGCCTCTCGCCCTCCCAGGTGTAGGATTCAAGCCGGGTCTGCCTGCGGCAAGTATTGTTTCAAGCCATCCCGCTCTTACGGAGACACGCTTCGAAATTGAGTGGTTCTGCTCAAACTGGTAGAACGTGATATTTTGCTTAGGGTGAGTGTGCGTTCGAATTCGAGATATTCCTGGCAAGTCCTGTGCAGTCGCATGTCAAGGGGCGTTCACCTCCTATGAACCCGTCAAAACACACAAAGTCTCTGATGGTTTTCAGAATGGATGAAACCACGGATAATAACATGGTCGTTTCTCCCACGCTGCTGTGTGGTAGCTCCAGGGCCCTGTGACAGTTCTGGTTCGAAATGGGTAGCGGGAGAGAATTCCGTCTCTTGTTGCTCTGCACTCACACACGTATACATTGTTGCTACACTGCACACGGTATACAGCGTGTATCTCACATCTCCCCTTCATGGCTCCTCCTGGTTCCAGCTCCGACTCCTCCTCCTGATCACTATTCCTCCCACCTCCTTTCCTTCCTTCCTCCTCCGAACTTTTTCTCACTCGTCCTCGCCTCCTCACCCATTAAGAGAATGGATGAATGCGGTGAGATAGTCAATGCTCAGCTGCGAATGCTGCTTGCCTCGCGGGTGCCAGCTCGCAGCGCCGAGACACGCATCGCTGTGCTTTTTTCCAGCAGGGTGCCCGAGGATGTCTAGATACAAAGGTGCGTGCTTACCAAGATTGCGTAGGCACGAAGCCTCATGGATCTTTGAAGCTGGGCTGACCCGACCCTCCTCTTCCTCCTCCTCCTCCTCCTACTCCTCCCCCCTCCCTCTCTCCCCGCTACTCTGCTTTGCAAGCGCCAGAGCCATCCTTCCCCGTGTCGGACTATTCGAAGTGCTGGAAGACGAGAGGCGCTGGCCCAAAACAAGCGCTGGCCGTTCGAAGTCCACAGCTTGCGCCAGCCAGCATGCTGTCCTAGCTCTCAGTTTTAAGCTATCGGAAGACGACAAGGCGACGCTTGTGCACCTAATTACTGGGCTTGGAGAGTCCATTTCTTTCGTCAACAGTATCCTCCCCGTCCCTATCCGTTACCAGCCTTCTCCGCTCCCCAGTTCTTGCTCCCCCCTCTTTCATCCTCATCCCTGCCGTCACCAGCCTTCTCTGCTCCCCCTCCTTCTGTGGTAAGTCCCCCCCGTTAGGTACGCATCGGACTTTGCTGGTGCCATGCCAGCCGAAGACATTCGCCGCGTAGCTTTTACAAGGTACCACAGCGGTTCACAAATCTGGTGTACTGGTGGAGCCTGGTTTCTTCGTCCATTTTTGTCATCATCATTCAGGCCGTCCCATTTTAGTATTGCAGTGCCTGCGCGATGACGAAGGTAACTCTGCAGAGGTGGCGCGGGCCGAGACATGACGGAAATCTCGACCCCCTTCACAGGTCGTTATATTTTTGTTTGGGTCTGCACGTTTGCCGGGCCCTTACGTCTCGATTCGGTTGATGCCTTCATCCCAGGCGCCGTCCTCCCCCTCGGGGTAGTGCTCTAAGATCCGCGGCTTGTCTTGACCACGACCGCACCCCCCTTCATGGGCCGACCCCTCGGGCTAGTGCTACGTATCTCCCTCTCTCTCACGTGCTTCCGCCGGTTTCCCCTCTCGAGGATGGTGTAGTTCGATTCCAGTGTGCGCGTGCTACAGGTTCTGCCGCTCCTTGATGCCCGAGGCATAACCGCATGCGCATGACATCCGTCGCTCCGCACACCATCGGTGTCAACGGCCGTCCAAGGCAAACGCATGCGTGTGTCGTCGTCGTTTCCGTCGTCGTTGTCGCCGTGGTCGTCCTATCTCCCTCGTCGTCTTCGTCGGCGTTTCGTCGTTGTCCCTCATAGTTCGTCGCCGTCGTCGTCGTCGTCGTCGTCTTCCCTCCTCCCTCGTCGTTGTCGTCGTCCGCCGTCGTCGCCCTCCCTCCTCCCTCGTCGTCGTCGTCGTCGCCGTCGTCGTCGTCGTCGTCGTCGTTGGCGACGTCGTCGTCGTCGTCGTCGTCTTCGTCGTCGCCGTCGTCGTCGTCGTCGTCGGCGTCGTCGTCGTCGTCGTCGTCGTCGGTGGCGGCGTCGTTGTCGTCGGCGTTGTCATCGTCGTCGTCGTCGTCGTCGTCGTCAGCGTCGGCGTCGTGTTCTCGTCGTCGGTGTTGTCGTCGTCGTCGTTGTCGTCGTCGTCGAAGTCGTTGGAGCCGTCGTCGGCGTCGTCGGAGTCGTCGTCGTCTTCGTCGTCGCCGTCGTCGTCGTCGTCGTCGGCGTCGTCGTCGTCGTCGGTGGCGGCGTCGTTGTCGTCGGCGTTGTCATCGTCGTCGTCAGCGTCGGCGTCGTGTTCTCGTCGTCGGTGTTGTCGTCGTCGTCGTTGTCGTCGTCGTCGAAGTCGTTGGAGCCGTCGTCGGCGTCGTCGGAGTCGTTGTCGGCGTCGTCGTCGTTGTCGTCGTTGTCGCTGTCGTCGTCGGCGTCGGTGTCGTTGCCAAGTGCCATGTGGTACCTACCGTCACGGTCTTAAGAGGTCTTGCGAACAAGTTTCGAGTGGGAGGGTGGGATGTTTGCACGAGCAGTGGAGAGGATAGCTTCAAGTTGAGCAAGTGATCGATTTCACCACATCGATTGCACCACATAGTTTGTGGCAACTACTTTGCACCACATCGTTTGCACCACGTCGATTGCGTCACCCAGTACGCTACCACAGTTTGGAGTCCACGTTGCTAACATGTTCGCGCATTGTTCAGCATTGCTTCAGTTTGGGGTCATCGCGCGTATATTATGTACCCTGGCAGCCCTCCTCTGCCCCCCCACCATTTTGTTATACTCCAGGAGCTGCAATGCCTATGCTGGCCTTGTCTGTCTTCGTTGTTCAGATCTTATCTGCTTGAGCGCCGTTGCTTCCTTGAGGCGTGTGGACAAGAATGAGAACTATAAGAGCCACCGCGACAACCACAGGAATCGGAGCCGATCCTTGTCGGAGGAGTGACCCCTGTGCTGGCTCTTTTCCATACCGGCGAAATCAATCAACAATCGCGCTCACATGTGCAAAGGGGCATTCCACCAGCCGTTTGCATTATTCAGTGATTGTGCTTTCTGTCATAGGCTCCCGCGGGGAACTTTTCTTCTGCCAGGGGACGACGGGCGAAGGAGAAGGAAGAGGAGGAGGTCCAGTGAAAATCCAAGACACATCAACCATGTTGCAATGAACCCTCGATCCAAGTACTTCGTATGTCCCGAACTACAAGGATTTATTTTCATTGCGGGAAGTGCCCCATTGGAGGACAACCGACCGAGAATCATCAATCATTTCAGGACACCGTTCCTGACGCCGTAAGTAATAGTATCTTCCGCTTTCTGACAATCTTTAATCCCGTCATAACACCCTACGTGAGACTTTAACAGCGCGAATTCGCGTGACGGTTGCGCCTTGGTAGTCCTAATTCGAACCAGCACGCCTTTCGTGGCATTCCAACCTTATGAATATTTGAAACTGTTGCCATCTTCAAAATGAACGCACGCGGCGCGAAGACGGGAACCTCATTCTGAAACAGAGCTACCCTTTATCCCTGAAGCCATCGCAAACTTTTCAGACGAACATGTGCAGCTCTAATGCGAGAGCCTAATTTTGAAAATGGCCCGCCTTTCACCCTTAACAGGGTTGTTCATATTCAAGTCGAGTGTGCGCGTCGCTAGGTCGAGACCTACATGTTGAAAACCACCCGCCCTTTATCTGTTGCAATTTTGTTAGACGCATGTGCATGGCGCTGCGGCGAGAACCACATGTTGAAAACGGCAATTATCCATCCTTGACTTCGTTGCAAACTCCAAGCTGTAGGATTATACATTGCGAGGAACTCTCAAGCGAAGCTCCCGGCCCGCCGTAGCGACACGTTTGGGGGTTGCGACAGGGAGGAGTTGCTCATAAGGAAAGGGCGGTGGGAAACATGGGGGAGAGTGGACGGGGGAGGAAGACGGGCGAAAGGGGAGGATTATGTTGAGAGGGGAAGAGCGAAGAGGAGGGCGAGACGGGGAAGCGTGAAGAGGAGAGTGAGCAAGGGATGAGGCTGAGAAGGATCGAGGAAGGAGGACGAAGAGGGGAAGAGTGAGGAGGCGGAGAATGATGACGAGGGCAGAAGGAGTGACGAGAGAGGAGCAAGAGGGGAAGAGAACGAGGACGAGGTTCAGAACGAGGACGAGGATCAGAACGAGGATAATGAGAATCATGTGAAGCGGGGGTAGAGGGATGGTTCACCCTATCGCTATTTCGCTATCTGGTAGTACGCGGTGTACTGGTGTACCATGCAATGTACTTAGTCGTACGGCGATACTCTTGATGCGATTGGCGCCCCATTGCTGTTGTATCCCGCGGCTGGCCCAATGAGTTAGAGCCAAGACCCAGAGGTCGCTAGACCCATGAGGGTGTTGGCAAGGGGGCACCCTCGACTCCCAGTGTCCATGACGGCCTCTCACTAACAGTCTGACGAATGGTATGGGGAGGTGGAGGAGGCTACTTGTCATGTTGAAGTGGGAGGCGGGGAGGAGGAGGAGGAGGAGGAGGAGGAGAGGGGACGCGAACACTAGGGCCTGGCATGTCACGGAAGCGGTGCGCGGCCAGCGTGCACGGGCAGCGTGTGTGGGCTCAGCGCACGACCGCGGTTGGCCGACCACTCGGGCCGCTCTTGCCGCCCGGGGCTCGCCCTTTCGCCGCATGGGCTCGGCTCTCCGTTGCTGCGGGGCCCTGCCGTGCCTCATCCATTTAGTGCTGCCCTTTACGATATTGGTGAGTGCTTGCACCCATTTTAGCATACACCGCCCAGCCAGCGCCAAAATTGCCGGTTCTTGCCCCGTCCCTCTTCCCTTCTTGCTTCCGCCTCACGCGCGGTAGAACCTTGGGTAATATTTCTATCATCCGCGTAGCCGCAGGGTCGTTTGTTGATTTATTGAATTGTGCACTGTCCTTTTAGCTTGTCGTTGTGTGCTGTCTAATTAATTAATTGTCGGTTGGACATCGATGGGATGCACACACAGCGCTGTTGTCTGTCTCCCTCGCCTCGCTCTTGTCCTCCTCCTCCTCCGCCTCTGCCTCACCCCCCCTCAGACAAATGCAACACGGAGGTTACATTTGAGTCGCAATTTATTCCTCATCTGTAGTGCCACCCGTGTGCTGCTGTTCCCTGCTTTGAAAAGGGGTCCAGGGGCATGGAGTGCTCGGCATAGTGCAACAAGGAGGTTGCATTTGAGACGCGTTTTATTCCTCATATGTAGTGCCACCTGTGTTCTGTTGATTCCTGCTTTGAAAGGGGTTCAGGGGCATGGTGTGCGCGGTATGGTGCAACAAAGAGGTTGCATTTGAGACGCGTCATTTTCCTCATCCGTGGTGTCATTTTGTTGTGGTAAACGAAGACAAAGCGAATCTCGTACGCTGGGAGAAGAACAAACATGTCATGTTGAAGTGGCCTCTTGCATTCATCATTTGAGAAGACATCGATTCGGTTCTTGGCATGGTGCCTTCACGTGGAACCATCGTCGGTGGCAGCGCTGACGGCAGCTTTGTTTCAAGACTTTCGAGCCAGGCATATTTGTTGTGGTTGACTTGTTGAGTACGCGTGAGCAGGTGAGCGCGTGGCCGAATCACGCCCGCGTCACCTTTAGTGGTGCTCGCAGGCTGTTGTTCTGTTCGCAGGTTCCAGTGGTTTACATTCAGAGGCTGTCACAAGTTTTTTGTCCGTGCTCGCGGACATGACGCGGTGCTCGCAGGCTACGGCGGCAGGGGATGTGCAGGGCTCAGCATATTGTTGCGCACAAGTGTGGCGGTGCCGGAGTGTTGTGGTGTGGGGTTTGGCTTCCCTGGTCGTTTGGTCATGACCACAGCGTGGTGCTCACAAGCACGTTGCAGTGTTCGCAGGCTATTGTGTGGCGCTCCTCGAATCTGGAGGCGTTGGCCAGGCGTCGCCTTGCCGCGTCGCTGTTGCCTAGTGTCCTTGGGGCCAGGAGATATGGAACCCTCCGGTAGGCCCTTGCGCCATCCCCGCCCATTTGGGTGTCCGGCAGTTTCGAAGATGTCGCCGCCGCCGTCGTCGTCTTCGTCGTCTGCGCCGTCGTCGTCCCACTACTCCTCCTCGTCCTGTTCCCCGTCCTCCCCCCCGTCGCCCCCGTCCCCGCCGCTCTCCTGATCACACTCCCGTTTCTCCTTTGTGTCTTCCTCCTCCTATCATTATCCAGCTCGTCTTGCGCCTCCTGTTCGTTCTCCTCTTTGTCATACTTCTCGTCCTCCTCGTGCTCACCGTTTTCGGTTTCGTAGTTCTCGTCGTCCTCGCCTTCGTCGTCCTCGTCGTCTTGTCCCCGTCGACGTTGTCGTCATCCTCGTCGTTTTCGTCGTCATTGTCGCCATTTTGGTTGTCGCCGTCGTCCCCATTCATCTCCACTTCTTCGTTTCCTTCATCCTCCTCGTCGTCGTCGTCGTCGTCCCCGTTCTTGTATTCCTATTCCTTCTCCGACGGCTGCTGTGACATTTGAGGGTTGCGGCATGCTCCTGCGCTCACGAAGGCTATTATATACTGTGGTCTTGGCTTGGCCCTGGTTGCCTTGCTATCGGGTTGTCGCGATCACACTGCGGTGCTCACAGGCACGTTGTGGTGTACTCGTGGCACTCAGGTCGTCACGATACAATCCCCTGTGCTTGTAACCATATAGAAGTGTTCGCTGGCTGTTGGGGTGCCCGCCGAGTCCATCATCCTGCTGCGCGTAGTTGCGGTACCGTTGTTGCGTTCGCGTGTTGCGGCGGTTTGTTCTCGCAGGTTGATCTGTTCGCGTGTTGTTATGGGTATTGACGGCATATCGTTTCGTACATTGTTGCGCTCGCAAGTGGCTGTTGTGGTCGTGGCAGGGTCTTTCTTCCCCCCTCCTCGCCGCGGTGCTGGCGGGCGTACTGTGGCAGCACTGCTGTGATCTTGGCAGGGTTCCTGTCCCCGCCGTGGCGTGGTGACTATCACGCGCGGTGCTCGCGGGCATGCCGTCGTGCGCGCATGCTCCACGCCCGAGCCCCGCTGCAAGACCGCGGAGCGCGCGCGCGTCGTGCCGGCTCTCTGGGTGCGCACGGGGCGGGGGGTTACGTTGTGCCTCTCCTTCGGGTGTTGCTAGAAGTGCCCCTGGCCCAAGGTGCTCCCAGGATTTCCAGGGAGGCCCCAACGGCCTCCGGAGCATCCCTCACGAGCCCAGAGTGCCCCAGGGGCTCCAAGCCGGCGCGAAAAGCTGGGGGCACCTTTGGCCAGGGGCACCTTTAGCAACACCCGGCTCCCCTCCATGACGCATGACGCCTATATTGGCAATTTATTCGATCAGTGCACGGTTCCCCACGAGGTACAGTGGCGGCTCGGACTCCAGGAGCTCTTCCTCGGGCAGCAGCGGCAAGGCCAAGTCTGGCGATTCGAACAAGGCCTTGCGGGGCCGTTGGCTTGGCCGTAGAGGAGGTGGATGAGGGGGAGGGGGAGGGGAGGAGGATTGGGAGGGGGAGGAAAAGGGAGAAGAGGATCACCTGGGGAAGGAAGGGATCGGAGGAACATGGAGGAGGAGGACGAGGAGGAGGAGGAGGAGGAGGAGGAGGAGCGGGGCCATCTTTTGCGCAAGCTTGATCGGACAATTGTTTACGCTTCGCGAATCCTCGCCAGCCTATTAGAAGCCCTGCCCACGAGAGCTGACGGGAAATGGAAAGCAGAGACGCATATAGTGAAACAGAGCGGTCAAAGAGAGGAGGGGGAGGAATGTGTTGAGAGCAATGTTGGAGACTATTTTGGAGCATCGGTGGCCTTCTTGAAGCTATGGGGCTTTGGGGGGGCGTCTTGGGGTCCTCTTGGGGCTCTTTTGGGGCATCTTGGGGCCCTCTTGGGGCTCTTTGGGGGTCTTGGGGTCCTCTTGGGGATCTTTTGGGGTGTCTTGGGGCCTTCCTGAGGCCCCTGTTGGGGCCCTCTTGGGGCCCTCTTGGGGCTCTCCTGGGAGCTTCGGAGGGCCTCCTGGGGCCATCTTGGAGGCCATCGAGCAAAAGGGGGACCCCCCCCAAAAGCCCTCGAGATCGCCTCCGGGGGCCCTCCTGGGGGCGATCTTGGGCGCTCTTGGGGCCATCTTGGGGGCCTCTTGGGCCCCTCTTGAAGCTCTCTTGAGCCATCTTAGGGCCATCTTGACGCCTCACAAGCGCATCGGAAGCGAAGAGGCGATACGGCCAAAATCATAGATTTCCGGTTGGTTCTTGAAGGATTTTGGCTTCATTGAAGTCATGCGGGGCCTCCAAAAACATTTGGATCGGTCTTGTGGCCCTCTCGGGGCCTCGAGGAGGCATGCTGTTAGCTATATTGAGCCATGTTGGGCTATCTTGTGCGATCTTGGAGGCCATCTTGGGCTCTTTGGGGCCCTCTTGGAGCCATCTTGGGCCGAAAAGGACCATCTTATACCTCGCGACCCCCCGTCCCCCCGTCCAGGGCCAGGGGGGTGGGTAAGGGGAGGAGCAAACCCTTCCCCGAAGGGGAAGAGGGGCGCTTGGAAGAGGGAAGGACGACATCGTTAGACCGCCTGCGCCCAGAAGGCTGGCGGGATTTCTCTCATGCCAGTCTGTGGGCACTGCGGGTGCCGCAAGAAGCCCAGCTGGCTTTCATATTGCAAGCACTGTGGCTATGTGCTCGCAGATGGAACATCATGGTCTGGTCAGCAGCAGTCTTCGTCTGTCGGCTCATACCGAGGTGGCAACGGTGCGTATTGGGGTGGCAAAGGTAGCAGCAAGTGGGATCACGGCCATCCTGGGCAGTGGTGGGCGCCGCTAACGCCGCCTCGAGTATCTGCTGATCAGCTGCAGCCATTCGTTCACTTGAACGAGAAGCAGTCTGAGGTAGCCAGTTTGTTCATGTCTTCCCAGCGGAAGCGTGAGCTGCTCAAGCTTCGCGCGGTCCAACCTGGTCAGCCCACAGCTGTTTCTCCCAATGTGCAGCGGTAGCAGCAGCATACTGGCGCACGTACCACGCTCAGTCAGACATAGGCCAAGTTCAGCAAAGCAGAGAAGCAGCTCAGCTCCGTCTTCGAAAGAGTTGTGCGGATCAGAAGTGAAGTTCAGCAGCCTGAGGATGAGGATATGTAGTTGGCTCACCAATCCGCGCAGGCATAGCCAAGCTTGGCAGGTGACGTCGGGTCAGGAGGAAGCTCGGCTGAAGAAGCAATTCTTCGCAGTTTCTCCAGGCTGGACGACAGTTTCGCGAATCAATTCCGTAAGTTGGTCAATGCTCGCACTCGTGCTCGGCATGAAGACCGTCCAGTTGCACTTGCTCATGGTGGCCTTCCTACTCCTGGTGCGCGCATGCCTGATGTTGGGCCTGCCGTTGAGAAGCCAGTCGCCGTTCACGGACCCGGATCGGTCACCGACTCGGACGACCCAGTGGATTGATCCTTGGGCTGGGTCTGACCAGGCGGCGCGGGAAATGGCGCGGCTCCTCGTCCAGCAGCATCCGTCAGAGGAGCACCTTACTCGGCATTGTTGCAGAATTCTCACTTGGGCTTGTTTTTGAAGCAGCGTAGTGGTCTTATGCTGTCTGTGGCTGAGTCCATCGATTGATCCCGTGATGAGCCCATAGACTGGAACATCTGCGACAAGAAGCTCAAGCGGGAGCAGTTTGGGTGGCAGTTCCGCCGGTGCTGGGCAGGCAAACGTTTGGCCCATACTCACTAACAGTATCACTACACGGTCGCGTTTCGAGCGCGCGCAAGAAAGTTCTTCTCACTTAAATTCCATAGCAGTGCAGGAGACTTATTTGACGCGTGCGCAGTGTGACTCGCGTGGAAGTCAGCTTCCGGTATCGGTATATGAGGATTTTCGGCTTCGCTTCCCCCAGGCGCTCGGCAAGGTGCAAGAGGTGTGGCTGGAGGTCCCGCTACCTTGGTTCCGAAGCATAGCGGTTTCTTTGGGGTCCACGGGTGTGATATCATTCAATGGCTGGGACGGACCACGTCGCATCATGTTGGTGGCATGGTCCGTGGTGGTTGCCTCATCAACATGTATATTCAGTGCTTGTCTGGGCTCGGAGCTGTCAACTGGGGAATCCGATCTGAAGTCGGGTCTTTCCTTGAGCCAGTTTGACTTTCCTTCGTGGGCGCTGCAGATCGGCAAATCGAGCCAGGTCAGTTCATCCCAGGCGGAAGGCCAGCTGCTCTTGACGCAAGGGTTTTCCCCGATCGCGGTGCGCGCAGACCAGCCAAACATATTAGCGCACTGCTTGTTTTCAGTTTTTCGCTCGCGCGTGCTTGCGACGTGCAGGTGCGCGCCGGCATCGCCGCCGTACTGCCCAGGTCAAATTCAAAATTGATGGCGCTGCCAACAGATGCCACTGTCCAGGTTGCACAGGTGCCTCAACGCTGTCCAGTTGCAGCGCCTTGTGGCCGTTCCCTTCGAGCGTTTCCGGGCAGGCGGTGCGCGCTCAGCATGAATGGTAACGCTGCTGCATCAGCGGGCGAGAGGTGGAAGCGATTTCTTCGTGCGTGCGAAGGCGATTGGCTGAACCGTTTTGGGGCGCGCAGAAGTATGTCGGGCGCTCCTCGGAGCTCCGCGTCGCGCGCAAGGCCCTCCGACGGCCTGGGCCTCCGTGGTGCCCGCGGAATTTGTCAGTTGGGTGTCTGGTGGAAGACGGTCATTGCGCGCCTCGGGGACATCCGGGTGCCCCGCCAGGTTCGCGTCTGAGAAGGCGCAGTCGATAGGTTAACGTCTCTTTTCAGACAACGTTTTTTTCCCAATGAGGACATCTATTGGGCATTGTCTCGATGCCTTAGCTTGGTCGCGCAGTTTTCCAGCGGCGGCGCTGCGGGCGCTGCCGCGGCGGGCTCGTCGCGCCGTGGATGCCGAATCCAAGGGGGCTGCTAAGCAGACAGAGATTGAATGGATGCGCTGGATCGATCAGCATCCTGAGAATGGAGCTTTGGCCCCTCATTCGCACTCGTCGCCGCCCACTGCGCGGCGACCTTCGACCATGGGGCATGGCGCGCGCCGGCCAGCCACCTCGTGTGACAAAAGAACGCAGCCACTCCAGAGTGAATGAGGAGGCTGGTGGCAAGCGTCATCCCATAATCATGAACTCGCATGGCCTCCTCACCTTGGACATCTTCCTCCTCCTCCTCCTCCTCCTCCTCCTCCTTCTGCCACCATCGAGCAGCTTAAGGTCGTCTTCAATAGAACCTTCGACGGCTCCGCTGGGGCAGGCTTCGATCGCACTTCGCCAGGACATGCCTTGCTACCTCCCGAAAGCACACTGGAGTGCCATCGTGGGGGCCATCGGATAGAATCCGCAGTGGACCTCAGCGTGGATTCGCGTGGTTTTCCCCCCATCGACAGGCTCGGCGGAGTACGGCCTCCAGGGCGTCGTCGCGTGCTCTGCAGGGTCCAGCGGTAGCTTCGGGGGCCCCGCGTTCATGCTTGCCAACAACAGAATTCCCAGAGCTTCTGGTGGTCTGTGACAGGTTGGTCATCTGAGCAATCTGCCGTCGAGAAAGTTTTCGAATGCTCGAGGCACCCTCAGTTGATTCAGGCCGCTGTCGAGACTGGCTGTCCCCAGTGGACGCTCGGGCTTTTGATGTCCATGTTTCGTGCGCCGAGCTCTTTGGACATGCAAGGCACGATGAATGGTTTGATTTGTGCTCAGCAGACAATCGCTCCAGGGTGCCATCTCGCCGCGGCGATGCCCCAGTTGCCTCTGTTGGGCCCGGTGCGTCGAGTTCAAGCAGCTCATCGTCGTGTAATTCTGTTAATCAATACCGGTGATTTTGGCCTGCAGAGGCGCGGAGTTTCTCGTCGCGTCGTTCGTGATCTTGCTGGTGCGTCTTAACTGTCGCTCACATTTCTAACCGACGCATCGCTGTGGGCAGGAGCAGGGCCGTATCCGACTTGCCGATGGTCAGGATGGCTCTTGCTCGCAAGTTGAGTGTTCCGGACGCGCAGGGCGCGCGCGCCGAGAGGAACCTGGGCGCGAATTGCTCGTGGCGAACCCGGGGTCAGAGCTCGTCTGCAGATATGCGCTGGACGTCGAGTTCGCGCGGCAGTTCTCAGGGGCGGGATGCCCAGGGGGGAACTGCCCGGCGCTATCCCAGGCGCTGTTTTGGAGGGCGCCGTGATATATTTCGCGCTTGTTTTGGGATTAGACATTGGAGAACTGAGGCTGCTGCGCTCTCTCGCCAGTTCGCTTCGAGATCTTCATCGCAATGGTCGCTCCAGGTCTCTTGCTCTGAGACTGCCCCATGCCCGCCCCCTGGATTTCATTTTTCGGGCCACTTGGCTTCCTGCACATTTCCCCTTGCAGGCTTTCTGCTTAGGAAGGTCGGCTCCCGGGGCGACCCATCACCTCTGCCATTCTTGCCGCCGCGTCGCACCTCCGAGGGGTTGCCCCCCCCGGGGTGCTATCCGCGGGCCCTTCAGTGCTTATGTGGCCACTCGTTTCCGTGCTAGTATTGTGGTTCACCCCATGTCTGAGCGGATATACCCCGGCGAAGGCCACCTTGGCCCCGCGAGAGCTTGTGTGAGTGTTGCGCAGAGAATGGTCACGCACGCGCGCAACATGCGGCAATGCACTCAAGTCGCTGAGCATATGTCCCTCCATGAGTTTGCCACGGGAATGTTGGTCCAGCCCGTGGGTGACTTGCTAACGTCGAATGCCCCCCCCTTAGGAGCGGGCCTATTCGCGTTTTGTTTGGTAGGAGGGGAATTGCAATTGCATCGTCAGCGGTCTTCTGGCTACGATGTGGGTTCTTTCTGTCGCGCGCGCGCTCAGCGATGTGCGCGGGGGCGAGGTGGCTGGCGCCATGCTGCGCAGGTGCGCCGCAAGCGAACGCGCTTACATAGATGACGTGGCCGCCCTTCCGTTCCTCCAGGGGCTCAGCGCCGCCGCCGTCAGCTCCCCTCTTGCTCCTGCTTTGACCGAGCGCTGCCTCGTCCCGCTTCCTGAGGTGAGCCAGGTCTGTCTGGAGTGCGCGCTGAATATTGGTCCATGGGTTCCCGCGTGAAGGTTCCAGGTGATCTAAATTCAGACGGGTCTGTCTTCGGAAGGGGATTGGCCGCGTCTTTCCGCTGCTGGGTCGGCTGTCGTTGCTCTCTTTCCTGTTGCTGATGAGCCGCGCCGCGTTGCGTGTGGGCCCTTCAATGAGCACCTCCCTGCCACTGACGAAGCTGAGCTCATTGTCTTGTGCCGCGCTCTGCGCCGTGCTTGGCAGCGTCTTCCGCGCTGATCGTGATTCTGCTTGAACAGGTGTGTATCGGTGCGGTCATGAGGACTGCTGTCATCCCCGCGCCTCTCATACTTCTCTCTGGCGTGAAATTTGGCGTTCGATCCTGGGCCGCGGCGGAGATTTTGCGGGCCTGGTCGCGAAGATGGGCGCACCTTACGATCCGGGGCTTCGCGAAGGACTCGCTAGCAAGCGTCTGAATGCAGGCGGCGTTCTCTCGGATCCCCCCGAGGCCCAGGCCTTGGCAATTTTGGGGCCGCGCCAAGATCCTGAAATCCTGGCGCCAGTGGATGGCCAGAGCTGGGGAGGGCGACGATGCCTTCCACCCGTCGCAGGTGAAACGCGGTCGCCCTCCCCAACCAACCCGCGCCATTGTCAGTGATCTGATGGGCGCAAGCGGCGCCGCCTTATGTGTTTCTCTCTCTCTCTCTCTCACAGGTGAGGTCGAGCTTGTTGCTTGTTCGTCATGTGGTGCCATTTGTTCGGGTCGGTTCGCGTCTCTCTCGTCGCCGCGTTCGTCGCAGCGACCGAAGTTGTCTGAGGAGATCTGGAACAGGCTCCGCATGTGAGAGTGCAGGCGCGCTGGCAGGAAGGAGATTTTGTTCGTGCGTGAGTCTATGCCGGTCTCGCTCGCTTACTTTGTTCGGTTTTTCCTTAGCCAGGTGCGATGGATTCCCTTGCGTTCGCTGTGTTGCCTCGGAGGAGTAGCTGGGGGTTGGGGGGGAAAAAGGATCTGGCGTGGGACATAGAGGCGGGGAGGCGTCGGAGGAGGATTTGGCCCTTATTATCCCGGCGCTCCACCGGCAGGAAGTCCTGCTCATCTTCATGTTGTCCACCACTCTTCGTTATCTTGTTCCCTGTGCACCTGCTTCCCCCCCCCTTCTCCTCCATCTCCAGGGCTAAAAATCTAGGGCTAGGTCTGGGACCGAGGAAGATAGGGGCAGTGGAGTAGAGCGGGGATTGCTTCGCGATGTGATCGGCCATCCGTTTCGGTCGGGTCGATCCGTCTGCGTCAAGGGCACGCCCTGGTGATGGGCCGCGGGGAAGCGGGCAGTCAGAGATCTGAGTAATTATCATGCAGGCGCGGCGGGGGGTGCATGTGAGTTTCCAGTAGGCCGCCCCGGGGCGCAGGACGAGATCGTCCACTTCTCCTGGCAGAGGGGCTCGTTGCTGGACTCCAGGTGCCCCGCGCTCCTCGGCCGGCCGGGCCGGCAGGCAGCAGGCCGCCGTGCCCTCGCCACCGACCCACCAGCCCGCCCACGAAGATCTCCGGCCGACCCCCCCCCCCCCCTTGCTCCCGCCCCCGCCCCTCCCTTCCCTTCTACCCTTCCACCCGCCGCGCCACCCGCGGCTGCGCCCACCCCCGCACCCACGCCCGCGCAGCGTACGGCAATGGCATGTGGGGCTAAGTTCCGTGGCAACGCCGCGCCGCGCGCGGACTTCCCATGGCGGTGCGAAGGGGCAAGGCCGACACAGTGACTTGGGCCGACTGCCAGTGGCCGTGCGAGAGTCCAGCAAATGCATTCGATGGAGGCCATCGACTCGTTCAAAACAAGTCGTCGGAGAGAGGGGTGGAGAAAGAGAAAGAGAAAAGGCGGAGGACCGACCAGAGAAGGAAGCGGAGGGAGGGAACGCGAGAGAAAAAGGCCAGGCATGGTCACCCGCCCTCAAAGCGTATCGTCCGCGAACCTATCGAACCGTTGCTCTTGCTCATGTGGGATCCTGGTACGCGCGCCGATTTCGGCCGGCCTCCAAAGCCGCGAGCTCTTGTCCTGCCCTCTTTTTTTCTTCCTTGCTTTCCTCTTCCTCCCCTCCCTTGCCTGGCCGTTTCGCCCCTACGTAATCGTTTCGCGCGGGATGAAAGGACGATTACGGTCTTCCGGCATGTTTATTTGCCGATTCTTTGTCTTTTTGATGGATGCTTGTGGCATCTTTGCGCATGGGAGTCAGGGCGAGAACGGTCCTGTGGTAGGCATGCCTGTCATTTCCCGGTGGTGGGCTTTTTCTCTCTCTCTCTCTCTTTTACCTCCTTTTCCACATTTGCACCGGCGCCCCCCCGCGCCAACAACCACGTCAGCAGCACAATGTCTGCCTTCGTGGGAGAGGAGCAGTCGGAGGATGAGGATGAGGAAACGGTGCTTGGGCACTGCAGGATGAGGGATCCTAAGGACGAGGAGCCGGAGGAGGCGGATGATGAGGAAGATAATTCTAGGCTTTTCGCGTAACCCCACCAGCAATCCAGAAACGATGTCCAGGCGCGTTGTCATGATGAAGCATGCGGGGGAGCACGCAGTGGAATAAAGGTTGGGGAACCATCATACCCCAAGAGGGGGAGGATAAAGAAGGAACCAGAGGAGGATGAGGAGCAGGAGAAAGAGGAGAAGGATGCGGGGCGGAGGAGAGATGAGGGAGAAGGGAGGAGGGAGGAGGACCAGGGTGATGAGGAAAAGGAAGAGGGAGAGGGCCAACAGGAAGGTCAGAGGTCTCTTGGATGCTTCTCGGAGTCTCTTTGGATGTCTCTCGTTATATTCTTTTCAGCCTGTTGGGGCGTCCTGGAGGCTAGCGGTTTCTGGGGCCTCTTGACGCGTCTCGGGTGCCTCGGGGAGGGCTCCTGGAGCCTCTTGGGGTTCTCTTGGAAGCCTCTTAGGGGGCATCTTGGGGGCCTCTTGGGGCCTCCTGGGCGTCTCTTGAGGCCTCTTTGGGGCACTCTTCCTGGGCGCCCTTGACGCTGCTGGCGCGTCTGGCCAACGCGCCCTCTGGGTCGTGGCCCGGTCCCTTCTCCTGCACCCCCGCCAGGGGCTCATGCTAATGCACGGCGAGGAGGGGATCTCAGGAGGGAGAAAAATACACACACACACACACTTAATCGTCCACTCCCAGGAAAATATAGGAAAATATGGGAAGAGGGGGGGGAGACAAAAACCCAGAAGATATTGGAAAATATGGGGAATCCTGTTATTTGTGTATTTGTTTGTGTGTCCCAGGGCCCCTTCAGGATCGAGCTATCGACATCGAGGCCTCCAGCGCGCCCGCGTGGAGGGATTGGCGCCGTGGCTCACGCCCCCAGTCGCGATCGCTGCTCGGCGCGCGGCGGGGTGGAGCGGCTCGGACCCCCAGCCCGCCGCGGGCGCGGCGAGCACGCCGAGGTCTGCCCATGATGTTCGGAGCTCCGCTGCTCAGCGCGGCACCTGCCCGAGGCCCGCGCTTCGCCGGGGCCCGTGGCCGCTTCGGCGCCGAGGCCAACGCCCCCTCGGATCGGTGGTCCGTCCAGCCTCGGGCCGCGGCCAAAGCAGGCTGGACTGCGATCGGGGCCGGGCCCCCGGTAGAACGCCGGGCGGCGCTGCAGGTGGCGGTTTGCCGCCTCGGCCTGGAGGTCCTGCGGGCCACCCTGCCCACCCCCTCCCAGGCGTTCAGCGACTGCTCCGCGGAGACGCCGGGAGCGGCTGCGGAAGTGGTGGCGGCGTGGGGGGCCCCTGGTGGCGCGCCCGTCGGCGGCCCCAGCGGCGACGGCCCTGGCAGCGACCCCGACTGATATTTTTCACGCGCTGACGTCGGCGGGCCATCTGGCCTTCGTGTCAACTTTCGCCGGCGCCGCCGTCTGGGCGGCGCGCACGACTATACTTATTTTCAAGAGCAGCCAGGACATAGGCATCCTGTTGCTTGGCAACGTGCTCGCGCACTCTCGGGGGCCATATTGGGGCCATCTTGGATGAGATGGATCAGAGTTTTGGGGGGCGTCAAATCTAGACGCGTCGCGTAACCCCGCCAGCCCATCCAGAAACGATGCCCAGCCGAGCTCCCAGGATCAAGGGATCCAAGGTGCAGAGGAACATGCGGTTGAATAGCAGGCAATGGAAGCCGCCATGCACCAAGATGGGGAGGATGAGGGAGGATGGGGGATGGAGGGGGAGGGAGGGGGAGGAGGAAAAGGAGGAAATGGAGAAGGAGGAGGAGGTGGAGGATAAGGAGAACCAGGGCGCCCCTACGAACGGCAAGTCCTGGCCTGCGATATGCACCGCGCGTGGCGGCCCGCAGAGGGGCTTGGCCCGCCGGTCCTTGAGTGCGCAATGTTGGATGTGGTCCGCCCCCGGTGGGTGGACGTGACGGTCCGCCGCCGGGCGTCATGCGGCGCGACGGCGTTCTGGGCCGCGGCACGACGGCCGGGGGAGGTTCCGCGCAGGGCAAGGCGGGAAAAACACGGGATATGTCAATGGGGAGCGTTTCGTTGCGTTCGTTCCGGAAACATCCAGTCGCTGTGTCGCTGAGTCGCAGCGGCGGTTGCTGGCGCGGGTGCAGGAGCTCCCCGCGGACACGCAGTCCGGGGAGGTGGCGCGCCAGCTTCGGCGCGCCGTCGGGCTGCGCTGAGCCGCGAGGGCAGTTGGGCCCGGTCTGTGGGCGGCGCTGAGCTGGGACGGAGGGCCAGAAACGGCGCGCTTGAGGCCGAGCCGCTCTGGGCGCGCCCTGGCAGCCGCAGAAAGCGTCAATTGAGTGTGCGGCGGCCAGCCGCTGTCGTCGCCGGAGCACGCCGGGCCTCTTTGAGCGTTGCGGCGGGGCCCAGCCAGCCTAGAGATGCCGGCGCCGCCAGCTGGCGGAGGGGCGTGCGCTGGAGCGCCCGTTGCTGTGCGGGGCTGCAGGTGGGCCACGCGCTAGCGGCACTGCACCGGCCGGCTGGGCGCGGAGTTTTGCGTGGGGCACAGGTGCCCGCGACCGGAGACATCGTCGTCGCGTTCGCTCCAGTGGTCCCTGGCAGCGGGTCAGTTGGCCTCGGTTGTCGCCTCCAGTCGTCTGTGGGAACGGCCACCGTTGGAGCGGTAAATAGTGCCTGGGGTGGGGTTTTGCACCGGCAGAACGGCCAGAGGCCTGTTGGATGCGTCTCGGGGTCTGCTCGGATGTGTGTTGGCAACTTCCCAGATCATCCGATACAGATTTACGTTCGGTCGCGTTTCGCATGCTCCGGTTGCGACCGAATGCCGCAAATGAGCGTTCAGAATTGGTGTCGCGTGCATTGCATGCACGATCGAAATTGCGTTTGAAAGCCAGTGGCGCACACAAACATTCGTTTCGGAGCTACCGAATATGAGCGCGTCGTCGCTTCCAGATTTCGTCCTGGCGCTACCGAGCTTCGTGATCGTCGTTGTCGAATTTCGTGGTCGCCTTTGCTGGATTTCGGCGACTGAGGATGTCGGTGGCAGTGGTGATTGCGCAAATTCTCGCGTTATGGATTCTCGTGGTGCCGAAATTTGATTTCTTCCTACCGAGCTTCGTCTCCCCGCTACTGATTTTCGCGTTGGATTCGCTACCAGATGTCGCTTCCCATCTACCGAAATTCACCTTCCAAAATCTGCAAGTATTCGCAGTTTTCCGACGCGATCGAGAATTCGGGTATCCGTTCGCTACCGAAAATCGACGAGCGCCCAAATCGCTACCCAAAACGACAGGTATCGGATGATCTGAGTTATTGGGGTCCTGTTGGGGCGTCTTGGGTGGGTTTTGACCTTCATGGGGGGGACGTTTGGGGCGTTTTGAGTGTCGGGGGAGTTTCTTGGGGCCTGTTGGAGATTTCTTTGGAACTCCTTGGGGGCATTTTAGGGTCTCGTGGGGCTTCCTGGGCGCTTCTTGGGGCACTTGCGGGAGCCTCTGTGGCCATCTTGGGGTCTTTTGGAAGGGATCGATCAAGGAATGGGGGGGGGCGGCACGAAGTTTTTCCTAGGGCCCCCCCTGGGATGCCAACATTGGGCCAAAACTGACGCATTCTAGCCAAAGGCCGTCTTGAACGTTCCATGTGCCCCTGTCCAGGTCCAGGGGCAAGGGGGTATGCGGGTGGTGTCAAGACACCCTTCCCGTTCGCAAGCATTTGCGTTTACTCCCACCCGCCGTCTCAACACATAAACAGCATCCGGGCCGCAGCGTGTTCAGCGGTAGTCCATGGGCAGGCAGCTATGCAATGGAGACCAAACCAGACCCCATGTGCGCGACTTTGGGGCGAGACGCGTGCCAAGAACGCCACGCGCACCAGGTGCGCCAAACACCCCTGGGGCCCAAGCGTGCCAGACACGTGCTCCACGTGCGCCATGTGTGCCGCATGGCCCACTCGCGCACGGTTCGCCACGTGCGAGGCACGCGCAGAGTGTGCCAGGTGCCTGCATGTGACAACACACATTTGGAAACATGTCGGCCCCTTCATTTCTATCGACAACCAATGCACACACACACACACGGCGGGGAGGCCATCATGGTGTCCAGTGAGCCTGCACAGAACAGGCAACATGTTAGCCCCCCCGCTTGTCGATCAAAAACCGAAGGACAATGATCCTGGGGCGGCCGCGCATGATCCAGATTTAACGGCGAACTGTATTCGGTGTTGTTCGTTGACAGCGATGGTGGCATTGCGCGTAGGGGCCGACGAGCATGACGCAAGATTGACCCCGAAGTGTAAATTGTTGTTAGACAGGGACGGCGGTGTGGTGGGGGGTGTCATTGTGCCTGGTTGGCTGCCTGTCGCTGGGGGGGGGGTGGTTACTAAGAGGGAACAATGATAAACCCCATCCCGAAGGGGAAGAAAAGAACTTTAGAAGAGGAAACTCCCTAAACAACCTACGTCGCAAGAGCTGGTGGGAGTACAGCCCCCTCCCGGGGAACCAAAACGGGCCCCACTCCTTAGTAATATCAGTGACCTTGGTTTCCTCGCCGACGCCATCTTTGACAGACGCTCTAAATCCTCGCGGCCCCCCCCCGTTCAGGTCGATGGGGGATGGGTAGGGGAAGGGGGTCAAGACACCCTCCCTGCTCTCAAGCCGTCTCGTTCAGTCCCACCCGCCCCCCAACACATGAGTAGCACCCGAGCTGCAGCGTGATCAGCGGCAGTCTATGGATGGACAGCTAGTGGAAGCCAAAACATACCCCACGTGCGCAACGCTGCCAGGCGCGACCCGCGCACCCAGTGCGCCAGGCACCCTTGTGGCCTATGCGTGCTGGGCACGCCTGGTGCGCCAGATGCGCCGCGTGCTCCACGTGCGCCATGTGTGCCGCATGCGGGCAATAGTTATGTCCACATCCAGTGAGTCTTGGAGTTTGGGGCTACCTTCCCCAGAAACTGGAGGCGCACTGGATATGGATAAACATCTGGCCCCCAAAGGCTCGATTTTTATCCATACCCAGTGCGACTCGGCCTTGCGGTACCCCTTCCCAAACATTCCAAGACGCTCTGGATATGGATATAAGTATTGCCCGCACCGCATGCTCCTGCCGCGCCAGGTTTGCCACTGTCGGGGCAGCGCAGAGTGTGCCAGGTGCGCCCGCGCACGTGGCAGCACACAGCGGGAAACGTGGCGACCCCCACCACCCTTGTGGAAATACCGTGATTAATCGCGGCGGGGTGGCCATCACAGCGTCTGGTGGGCCTTCACATGACAGGCAATCTGCCAGCACTCCCGCCTTCCCATCAAAAAAAAGAGTGCACAGTGATCGCCGGGTGCCCGCGCATGATTTTGATTCTGCCTAGAAGTGCATGTTGTATTGTTTTTGGGTAGTGATGCTGGCCTTGCGCGCAGCAGGCAATAGGCGGGCACCCCCTCCGTACTTTACATTTGTTTTTTGACAGGGATTGTCGGGGGGCCCTCGTTGTTCCTGGTTGGCTGCCAGTCGCCTGGGGGAGGGGGTGTTTATAAGTAGGGAACAACGATATACACCTCCCCGAAGGGGGAGAAGGAAGTTGGAAGAGGAAACCTGCTAACTTACTTATGCCCTGGGGGGCTGTTGGGATTTAGTTTAATAGCTTGGCAATGATGAGACGGAGGAGAGGCAGGCGGGTACGGAGAATCTGGAGAAGCATGAAGTGAAGGCGGAAGAGGGTGAGGAGGAGAGCATCAGGTACCGTATCGTCAAGTTGTTGGGGGATGGCACCTTCGGGCGCGTGCTTCTCGCCGAAGACCTGAGGGACAGGAATCGCCAGGTGGCGGTGAAGGTCATCCGGGACGTGAAGCGGTGCCCGAATTCCCACGGCCCCGTTTTCTTTCTCAACATATCTCTCAGCCTGGCTCCACGCATGGCCGCAGTGGCGCTTGTCTGTAGTGGGTACCGCATTTCGCAACGACGATCTCCAGGGGACGGCCTCCGAAGGCCCCACTTTGGTTGCCCTCATGTACCCATCGTGACACGTCTCTTCGCTCGCGCGATGCCTTTACGATCACGGCGTTGACCGTAGCGCTTGTAGGGTAAATTGTTGTTTCGGCTGTTCCTCCGAGTGACTGGGGGGCGTTCGTCTCGTACCATAGGCTACCGCGGTATTCAATGGGAACTTTTGTATCCTAGCATCCTGATGTGCTCGTCATATTAAAGGACACCGTGACGGCAACAGACCAGAGGTATCATTGATGCCGGCAGCCGCGGTTGCGACAATTCTTAAAGTAGCAGGACGGGGGCACCACACAAAATCTGTGCACTGCTGTCTTGAATCAGGCGTGGGCCTGCCTCACCATGCACAATTAGCTAGTCCATTTGTTTGACCCTTGGATGCCTCCACGAGGCTCGCAGGGGCAGTGAAGGGACAGGGGCGTGTCCACCTCCGATACATCGCCGCCAATTTTTGCATACGACTGATGTGACGCGCGCCCACATAGCTCAGGGCCTCAGACTCTATGCGTAACGCGGCTGCACCAGCTGAGCCGAGATTTGGACCGTGCTTACGGGATTCGCAGGAATACTTGCATGTCAGCGTCGCGCTGTGCCACCATCGCAGTTGCTTCTAGCAATACTCTGGGATCTGAAATGTCTGGTTGCCCAGACGTGGAGGTGGGGGACTGGCTTGCGGTGAGAGCTTGAGTGCGGCGTATTGCGTCGATTGCTAGCTGTGTTCAGCGGGCCGCCGTATTGGGGAGGGGTGGCCCGCTGAGTCGTCTCTGGGACTACGCCCCTTGCCAGTGCCAGTGCTGCTCGTGCGTGGCACATGGCTCAGATCAGCGTGCCTTGAGGCGGACGCGGGACCGGCCATTCTTGGACGCCTTCTGGGCCGTTTCTGAGCGATCTTGAGGACCCCTTGGGCCGTCCTCGGCGCTCCGAAGGTAGAAAAGAAGAAACCATAGGTTTTGCATTCATTGTTGCCAATGCCCCGAAAGCTCACAATGCCCCTAAAGCTCACAATACCGCCGAAGAGGCCTCCCAGACGGCCCAAGTGAGATACTTGACGACCTTTTGGAAGAGCGACGTCCCAACCGCGCTCCCGAGGCCTCCAGAAAAGTTACGCGGCGATCCCCACCAGGGCCCAGGATCCGCAGGAAGCGCCCGAGAACTCCGTGAATCCTGGGCCTGGGCTCTTCTGTACCCTGACGACCTCCCATCTGTCTCTTGCGGCACGGTGGCGGATATTACTTGCGCCATTTGTTGGCTTTGAGATTTGTCGCTTGATGTTGGTAAGGCGTTGCAGGCGAGGCTCGGTGAGGGTGACGAGCTGCCTGTGCAAGACGGTGAATGCTCTTGCGGCAAGACTTGCACGCTGACACGGCGTGGCCGGGGGTGTTGTTGTGTCCGAGGCCCGAACACCATCACGTCACTAATTTTGGGCCCCAGGGCCCACTGAGGCCCCAGGGGCCCCAAATTGGTGAAGTGATGTTTTTTTTCCCACGCAAGGACCCCGAAATTCATCACTTCACTAAACCGAACCCAGGACGAAAGTCAGGGGCCGAATTGCTGCTGTGATGCAGTATAGGTCTCATATTGTGGCCGTCTTGGCTCACAAGCCAGCGCAGAGGTGGCGCACGGCCGTCCGCGTCCTCAGGAGCCCAGACCCCATGCGCTGCGCGGCTGCAGCAGCTGAACCGACGTGCCGAAGCGGCATGCTTGCGCGACAGGCTCTGCGGAGGCGACACCCGCGGGTGTGTCGACAACGTCGTTCGCCCACACCAGTCTGCTGCTATTGGCATCGGCCTTCTGATCCTCGTGCTGACGCTTGCGCGCTTCCGCACATTTGCCCGCGACGCCTTGCAACCACCCCCCGTCTCGCACGGAGGAGTCGAGGCGATGGCCCTGCGATCGACCGCGCGGCCTGCCAGAGGACCTGCGCCAAAGAGCCACGGTGCAGCGCACGTGAGCGCGTGCTCTCGAACACCGCAGGTCCCGAGGCGGACCCGCGGCGCCGGCCCGCGGCCACCTGTGCGCGATCCGGGAAGCGTAGGTATGCGGAGAACGCGAAGATCGAAGCGGACATTCTCAAGGACCGCCGGCGAGGGCCCGAGTTTTCCCGACTAATGTGGGCGTTTTGGTACCGCCTCCTCTTCCTGCCTCGCCTCATGTCCTTCTCCTTCCCGACCCTCCCTCCTTCCTCTCTCCTATTGCACCCCCCGCCCCCGCCTTTCCCGTCCGCCCCCTTCCCGTCCACAGCGCTCCAATCTCTTTCCGATTGTGTTGCATCATGTTCTAATCGACGCCTCGGGTGTTGAATAATTCTTCGTCTGCAGTGCTTGAGTGATCTTTTAGTGTAAGAGGGAGACAGAACCATGAAGCGCAGATGGAGGCCGGGCGACGTCTTGGATAGAACGCGCACAATCGAGTTGCGCCGCGTTATAGTCATAATATCTACTACCGAGGCCTCAGCGCACTTTCGACGCGGAGCGTATTGGGAGCTGGATTCTTCCAGGGGAGAAGGGGGAATGACCAGTGTAAGTCCAAGATGCATTAACGAGGTTGTAATGAACCCTCTCACCAAATTCCCTTTTCCTAGGTCGCTACAAGATTTATTGTCGTTGCGAGAAGGGCCCCGTTGAAGACAACCGTCTCAGAATCCTAAATCGTGCGGGAGCATCATTACTGGAAGTCGACGCAGCGAATCAACGCGACTTCCGCGTTTTGACAATTCTGAAACGTGCCAGGACACATTTCTTTGGACTTCAACAACGCAAATCAAGATGACTGTTGCTCCCTGACAATTCTAAGGCGTGCCAGAACACCAGTCTTGGGATTCTAGCCATGCGGCTCACGACGCATGTCAGTGGTGCTCAGGCGAGAACCACAATTTGAAAGTGAGCTATTCTCCATCGCTTACATGGTTGCACACTTATAAGACGAATGTGCGCCGCGCTCAGGCCAGAGCCACAACTTGAAAAGAATCCGCTCTCCATCAGAAAACTGCTACACTTTTCGAATCGGATGTAGGTGGCGCTGGGGCGAGGGCCACAATTTGAAAAGGAAATGCCATCCATCCGTGAAACTGTTGCAGAGCTTCAAGACACATGTGCGCAGTGCTAGGGCAGGAGCCACATTTTGAAAATTGCCCGCCATCCTTCAGTACCACTGCTTCGACCTTTAAACGAGTTTGCACGGCGCTAAGGCGACAGTCACGTTTGAAACATGACCCGCCCTCCACCTTGAAACCATTGCAAGCTTTCAAGACACATTTGTACGGCAATGAGGTGAGAGCCACATTTTGAATGCGACCCGCCAACTGTGTTGCAAATTTCAAGTTTCAGGTGCATAACTGGTGAGGGAGTCTCAAGCGAAACGCCCAGCCCGCCGGGGTGCGACAGGGAGGAGTTTTGTATTAGGAATCGGGATGGAGGCCCCAGGGAATGAGGGAGGAATGAAAGAAGGGGGGGGATGGGAAAGGATGGAGATGGTGAGAGGGGGATGGACGAGGAGTGACATCAGATATTACAAGGCCGATGTGTTGTATAGATGGAAAATTATGTTGATGCTGAATTTGCTCTAGATGATGGGGTCGATGATGAATGGGATGGCAATTTTGATGCTGGCGTAGGAGCATGATAATGATCATGATGCTGATAGCGTTGGTGATGCTGATGGTGTTGCTGATGATGCTAATGATGATGACGATGATGATGAACATGATGCTGCTGATGCTGTTGCTGTTGCTGTTGTTGTTGTTGTTGATGATGATGATGATACTGATGACGACGACGGTGGTGGTGGTGGTGGTGGTAGTGGTCGTGGTGGTGGTGGTTGCGGTGGTGGTGGTGCAGGCGGCGGTGGTGGTTATGGTTGTGGTGGTTGTGTTTGTAATGATGCTGATGATGATGCTGATGAGGATGATGACACTGATGATGATGCTGATGATTGTGATGACGATGCTAATGGTGATGCTGATGATGATGATGATGATGCTGATGATGATGATGATGCTGATGAGGTTGATGATGCTGATGATGGTGGCGACGGTGGTGGTAGCCGTGGTGATGATGGCTTCTAATGATGAGAATGAGGATGATGATGCTGATGATGCTGATGATGCTGATGATGCTGATGATGATGCTGATTGTGATGACGATGACGATGACGACGACGCTGATTCTGATTATTATTATTATGATGCTGGTAATGACGATGATGAAGATGACGTTGCTGATGATGATGATGATGATGATGATGATGGTGATGGTGATGCTGATGAGGATGATGATGCTGCTGTTGATGCTGATGTTGATGATGATGATGCTGTCGCTGATAATGAGGATGCTGATACTGATGCTGATGATGATGCTGCCGCTGAGGATGATGACGATGATGATGATGATTCTGATGATGATGGTGATGATGATGATGATGATGATGATGATGATGATGGTGACGATGATGATGATGATGATGATGATGATGCTGATGATGATGATGATGCTGATGATGATGATGATGATGATGATGATGATGATGCTGATGCTGATGCTGATGATGATGCTGATGCTGATGCTGATGATGATGATGATGATGATGCTGATGATGATGATGATGATGATGATGATGATGATGATGATGATGATGATGATGATTGTGACGATGGTGGTGGTGATGATGGTGATGATGACATTGACGACTACGACGATGAGGAGGAGGAGGGACAGCAGGGAAAGTCGAAGAACACGAGGAGCCGCATGTGGGAGGAAGGAACATGTGAGAAGGACAGCTTTGAAGGTGACGCGTCTGTTGGAGGGGGTCGGTGACGCTGCAGGTCATCGAGGGCCGATGCCTGTGGTCGCCCAGCAGCGACTCGGGGCGGCGACCCAGGAAAGGGGAAACGTATTCAGAAGGGCGCATTGCAGAGGGGCCGGGAGTGGTGCAGCAGACGACCAGGCGACAGCGTTTTGTATTTTGATAGACCCATCGCGTCCATTCCGGCCGAAGCGAAGGCTATACAGTGAGCTTTAGGTACATGCTTTGCATGTGTGCATGTGTGTCAAACCAGCCAGCACATCTGTGCTCCACGCCTGAGGAAGGACATATCACATGTGGTAGATGGGGATGGAGGAGAACGGTGAGCATTTGTTGTAGAGCTTGGGGCAGGTAGTGGAATGGCTGAATTGGTCGGTCTTTCGGTTGGTCGGCAGGCGGGTGGGCGATTCGGCAGGCAATCGTCGCTGTAGTCGTAGAAGTCGGAGCAGTACTAATAGACAGTGGTAGTGCACTAACAGGAAACAGGAAGGGCGGACGAGGATAAGTAGGAGGAGGAGGATGAACGAAGGTCGTATAGCATACAGATGACGAGTGAGGGAGGAAGAGCTGGACGGAAAGTGTTCCGGCGTGGCGAAGTAACTGATCGATGATAGTTCAGTCGAGCGGCGCCCGGCAAGGACATCCGGCGGGCGGACCCGCGTGGCGAGAGCACGAGGAGCGCCATCATGCTGGACCATTTCTCGCACAACAGGCGGCCTGCCGCTACCTCGCGGGCCAGGAAGCCCAGCAAGGGTACAGTATCCAGCGGAGGAGGAGGAGGAGGAGGAGGAAGAGGAGGAGGAGAAGGAGGAGGAACGAGTCAATGCCGGAGAAGGCAGGAGAGAGCGGTCAGCACAGGGAGGAGGAGGAGCAGGAGCACGGAACACGAGGAAGGGGGAAATGCGGAGAAATCGTGAAGAGAAGGAGTGAGGATGGAGGAGAGAGGGGGATGAGGTGCATGAGAAGCGGAAGGTCAGTCCGCGCTGGCCGCGGCGTGCGCCGCATGCTGCGCGTCGCGCGCGCCGCCTCCTCGTCGCCTCTTGCCATGCCGCGATGTTCGCACCGCGCTGCGCCCGCAGTGACGCCGGGTGTCTTCATGGCACCGTGGAATGTTGTTTTAGTGTCTGGCCGCAGACGGGCTAACGGCGATGTATGTAATGGCGATGTAGGTTCCGGTGTCGTGGGAACGCGTGGCTCAGGCTTTCCTACAAGTCGCTGTGTCGTGCTCGCTCGATCCATTCGCAGATGGGGCATGTAGGAAAGTGTGGTTCAAGCGGAGTGAATCCCGCGCTCCCCCTCAGAACTCGTGGGGGGCAGGGGTAGGGTTCGCGTGCGCCCCCCTATCGGCAAGCTGGCGGCTCGCACTGGCGTGCGACTTTCGATATCGAGGCCCCCGCAAAGCCGCGACGGGTCGCCCCCCGCGCCCGCTCCCGACGGTGTGTGACGCCCGCGGGCCCCTCTGCGGCCGACCGCCGTGGAGGCAAAGGCCGCGTCGGCGAGACGCGCTCCAAGGGAGTCGAGGCCACAAGAGTATCCAATGGTCGTTGAAAGTACGTATTTTGGGACTCCCAGGTTCCAATCTACTTTAGGCGCCTTCCTACTTCAATGATCGAGTGGCTTCACCGCTTCCGTCCTCCTTAGGGGGCAGGCGGACACCCAATCTGCCTTCAACGCCTTCCTACTTCATGTTTCTACCTACTTCTTCCGACCGGCGAGTACCCTCCCAGGAGTCGGGGGCGGCGAAGAGGGGGTTGATGACTAGGGGGGGGGTGGATTTCATGGCGGGGGCCACGAGATTTTTTCGGATTTCATGGCGCCTCTTCTTTTTGTATTACGTCCCCGACCCCCCGCCTGGGACCAAAAGAGTACCCTCCCAGGAGGGATGGGGGACGGAAACGTGGCATAAAAATGTAAAAATTCAGAGGTTTGCGCGGATTTCTCGGATCTGCGCTGGGCCCTCTGGCGGCGCTTCCGGTGTCGTCCCTGGCGCGCGCCGCGCGCCAGGGAGGGGGTATCCCAGCGCGGATCCAAGAAATCCGCGCGGAGCGCCAAAAGTTTCTGTTTATGGCGTTGTTCTTCTTCTGGTGACGGCTCGCAGCCTCGGCCTGGGTGGCCGGGCAACATGCTGCTCCGAGGTCGGGATTGTGCACCTCGGGCTCCTTGAAGGTCGTGATTGGACACCTCCTCTTGGTGTCACATGTTTTCTGGTGGTCCTCTCCGTGGTCTCATCATTTCGCGTCTCTCGTTGCTCTCCTTCGCGCGGCTGGATCAGCCGCGAAATATTGTTTTTTTTTTATCGATCCCATGTTTTGGGGCAGTGGGCATCGCTGTGCATGGGCAGTGTCTTCGTGATGCGATTCTCGCCGTGTTCCCGGGAGCACTCCCTTAACGAGGTGGCTCGACTCCAGCAGGAGGTGATCAACCTTGTTAACGAGAGCTGTGCCGCTACGTACAACACGGAGCTCCATATAATCGGATGTACCCAAATCGACCTTGGGCGTGGCCGTTCCGCCAAATGGCGGCGCCTCACCTCTGCTCTCACCAGCCCCCGCAAACATTGCGCCCGTTGTTGTTTTTGAGAGTCCTGGGTGGTTTTCCTTCCTTTCTTTCTCGTGTCAGGAGTGGACAGCACACACAAACACAATTCATCGTCGCTCCCTCAGAAGACATGGACAAATTGGGAAATTGGGCGGAAGACGGAGTTAGAGCAAATGTGAGGAACTATGGGGGATCCTGGGGTTTGTGTCTATTTATTTCTGTGTCCCTGGGCCCCTCTATCTTGGGCGGGCCCCAGTGTAAACTGCAGCCGAGGGTCTCCAGGCTGGAGGTCTTCGGGCGGGGCGTGTGCTTCATCCGTCGCAGTTGGCGCGCGGTTACTTCGAGCGGCAACCCCGCTCGGCTTTGGCGTGGCCCCGCGGTCCGTTCGCCCCCCCCCCCCCCCCCTTCACTCCTTTTCCCCCCTGCTGCTGCTGCTGCTGGGGGCCCGGGGGGGGGTGCGCCTCTCGCCAGCGGCGGCCCGAAAGGCGCAGGCAAGAGAGCGCGCGCTGCCCGCTGTCTCGTCGCCTCCGCACTCGTAGCCTGCGGGCCCTCCCCCGAGCAGGGCTCGTTTCGATTCCTCCGATTCGATTCGATTCGATCTCGACGGCTTCCGATTCCGATTCCGATTCGGTTCGACTTGGGATGTCGATTTGGGTTCCGATTCTTCACAGGATGCATACTGGCCTGGCGATGTCCGCCGATCCGACTTTTTCCGACTCGGCTGCCGATTTCCGCCGATCCGATTTATATCGATCGCCGATCCGACTTGTCGATCCGATTCTGGGCTCTCCTGCCCGCGGGGCCACGACGTCGCCGCGGCCAGATTCCGCGCCGAAGTCCCGACGCGGGCCCAAGGGGACCTCGCCAACCTTCACAAGTGAGCCAGGGCCCTCAAGACCTCCCAAAGGGAATTTCGGCTCTGCGGCTGAGGATGCCCCGACCAAAGGATGAGAGGAAGAAGGACGAGCAGGAGGACGAGAACGAGGAAGGGGAAGAGGACGAATAGGTCGAAAGAACCCCTCGTGGGCCCCCCTGCAGACTTTCTAAGGCCTCGGCCTCTGGCAGGCCTCGTGGGGGCCTCAGGTTTTGGTCTCTTGGCCTTCGGAGGCCGTTTTGGGGGGATTTTCTGGACCGTCTTTGGGGGCTTCTTTGGGGGCCTTTGGGGCGGCCTCGGAGGTCTGCGGTGCCGTCTTTGGGGCCTGTTGGGAGCTTTGGGGGCTGTCCCGGATCGTGGGAAGCAGAAACAAAGCCGATAACGCTACAATCACTCGAACGAGCAATGGCGAAATCGAGGACTTTCGGGTTCGTGGATGTCCTTCGGAGTTTGGTTGAGGCGTCTTGTTTTTCCTGGGCCGTTCGGAAGGCAGATTCGGCCATGTTCTGGCCATCTTGGTCGTCTAGGAGGCGTCTTGGGTCAGACTTGGACGCGTGTTGGGCCATGTTGGGCATCTAGTGGGAAATCTTGGGGACCATTTTTGGACGTTTTGGGGGCGGCGGAGCGCGCTTTCCAGTTCGTTGTTCTGTGTGGTTGGCGGGCGTTGTGCTTGATGCCATCGGGACAATTCAGAAAACATGCAAAACAGCAAGATATCGAGCACACCGAACACCTTTTTGATAAACACAAGGGGGGCAGCGGATCAGGGTCGCCCACGGCGAACCTCCGTCGCCCCTTGCCTCTTCGAAACGCCGATGCGGCCAAACGTTGGCCCAAAGTCGGGTCAAGCCATTGGACCATGCGTTCGCCAGCCGCTGTCGAACCTGTTGGGTTAACACTTCGGGGAGGAGGAGGAGGAGGAGGAGGAGGAGGAGAACGGAGGGAGGGGGGGAGGAGGATGAGGATGACGATGGTGAGCAGGAGGCGGAGTGGGTGTGGGGTGGGGGGGTGGGGGATGGGACGCGGAGGATGCGGAGGCGAACGATGCGAACGTATCACAAGTTCGGATGAGGACGACAGTGCCATGAAGGAGTAGGAGGCGAGCATAGCACACGTCAGGTGGATGGCGACGGTGCGCAAGATGTGGATGATGTGGATGTGGAAGAGGATGCGCATGAGAAATATCACATGACGCACGCCTGGAGGAGGGCGACTGTGAGCAGGAGGAGGAGGGTGTGGTGCGGGGCGAGGCCTACGAGGCATAAACACAGCACACGTCAGTCGTTTGACGGATGTGAGTAGGAGAAGGATTAGGATGAGGATGATGCGGAGCAGGGGGAATAGGATATTGATGAGGTGGATGTGGATGAGTAGTTGCTATGCTTTTCTGGCCCGTGGGGCCCGCCCCTGGGAGTCTAAGGCTCCTACGGCCCGTCCCAGGGGATAGGCCCGCCCTTCTCCTCCACCCGGGCCTCGGGGGCTTCGGGTCCCAGCGACCAGCCCCCCCCTCCCCTCCCGGCCCCCCCCCCCTCTCCCGGACTCCCCGCCCTGGAACAAGCGCTGATAGCACAAGCCATGTCTGATTAACATTCTGTTTGACGAGATTTGGGGCTTAGTAGACCAAGTAGCCGTGTCAGAAACTCTAGACGCTTCGAATTGTGCCACCGGGTGTACATACAAGAGGATCTGCCGTTTGCAGTCCTGTCTGTGACGAGGCTGCCCCCTCTACACTCCGGCGCTGACAAGGTGCTGTTGTGTCACCCACGGCACGGATGTCGTCCTGGAGTGCCTGTCGGACCTGCTCGTTTTTGTTGGACCTGATGCCGACTCTCACACCGAGTGATCGACCTCTGCGTGTTCATGGTCGCGCCGCCGCGCCATTTTGGCTGCGCCTACTTGATGGTCGCCACCGGGATTTCCACGCCACGGGGTTGGGAGTGCCGTTCCTGGTCCTCCTCCTGAATGGCTGCCCGCGCGCTCGCTTCGATTGCCCCTCTTTTTTCTTGCTGCCTAGTCGTGGCCCGGCTAGTGTTCTGACGGCTTTCGACTTGCTTCGCGAGCCTGCAGACCAAAAAGTAACGCCACCAGCCCATCCAGAAACGATGCCCAGAGGAATTGCCTCGATCAGGGAGGTGGGCAGCACGCAGAGGAAGGACACCCCAGTGGAGGCCTCTTGGAGCGTCTTTGGGTGCCTCGGGGAGCGTCTCTTGGAGCATGTTGGAGGCCTCTTGGGCGCCTGTTGGGGCCTCCTGGGTGCCTTTTGGGGCCCTCTTGAAGCGCTTTTGAGAGCCTTGGGAGCGCTCTTGGTGCCATCTTGGAGGACATCGATCAAACCAGTAGCAAACAATAGGTAGCGTTGCCCTTCGGGGGCCAAAAAAATCGTCTCTTGGGGCGCTCTTGGGGCGCTCTTGGAGCGCTCTTAGGCACTCTTGGGGCCGTCCTGGGGCTCTCTTGAGCCCGTCCAGGTCCATGGGGAGGGGGTGTGGGGAAGGGGTAAACGTTTCCCCGAAGGGGAAGAAGGAGGGGTGGAAGAGGAAACTCCCTAAACCACCGACGCCCAGAGGGCTGGTGGGATTCAGTATTATGCTACCAGCTTTATGTTATAATCATGTTGCATGACTATAACAAGATGTTGCCCGCGATGCCGAACGCAGCGCGGAGTATGGATGACGAAAAGCACGTTGATAAATATGATATATATACAAATATGGGGATACGAGGCAGTGGAGAAGATGGAAGGGTGGGGGGGAATAGGGTCAGGGGGGCAGAAGAGAGGAGTGGTTGACCATGTCGCGAAGGCGTTGCCGCATGTGACCTATTCACCAATCGTGATTCTCAAATCTTCACATTAACGAATCCCACCATGTCAATGTGGACCCATCTGGGTGGGAACGGCCGTCCAAGAGGTTGTGCAGGTTGTCGCGCATGGCACGTTGCCGTCACGGTTGTGACCCATGCGAGTGCAACACAAGCAGAACAGGACAACGAGGATGGAAAACAGGTTGAGGAGGGGTGGGGGGATGGGGAGGCAGATGGGGGGAGGAGTTGGAATCGAGGAGGAAGCGGAGGACCATGTGGGAGAAAACAGCGACGGCGACGACTACGACGAATACGACGACGACGAGGACGAGGGCGAGGACCAGAGCGAGGAGAAAAGGAGTCAGACGGGGGACGGGGCGCAATGGACAGGGGGCTGAATTTGAACATGCCACATTGCGGCCAATGGTAACTTGCAGCGAGAGATTTGGGGGAACTCAGACTTAATACGCTTAGCAAGGGAAAGTTAACGGCCTCTCTGTTGCAGGCTCAAGTCAACATGCACACAGGGACCTTGCATGTCATTGGCGCCCCAGGCACTTCTGCATGGTGTTCCAGCCTTGCGGGGCCCTCCATTCTTTATTTTGCAGAAGCATGGGGTATTGCCAAGGACAGGTGATTGTAGTGAACGGCGTGAAACAGGGACGGGGTGCCAGCTGTACCATGAGAGGCGGATGATGAGCAAAAAGGGAAGAAGGAGGGAAAGTCGCATGGACTTTCCACGAGGTTGCGGGGCGTTGTGGTGTTGGACTGAAGTCGTTTTGCCTGGAGCGCCGTCGTCTCTACGCTTGCTCTTGCTTCTAACTGGCCCCTTCTGCTGTTATTCTCAGTCACGCGTAGCATGCAAAATTAGGATCGGGAAGAGGATAACATAATTACGTACTAGTCTTCGGCGGCACACGTGCTATAGCCTTGTTGTTGGTCATGGGTGTCATGGATAAGCAGCCCTAGTTGCCGGACCGAGAATTGCCGCGGTCAACAGCGGCGCCATTTACCAGTCTTGCAGCTGGCTGTAATACTGTGGTAAGATCGTGTCTCCCGCGGTGTCTTTGATGTATTGCTAATTCCGTCGGGCTTCATATCCAGCTGCCTGCAGCGAGCCCTTCCAATGTGCCAGCGCAGCAGCGCAGCAGTGATGATGAAGAAATGAACAGCCGCTCAATTTCAGTACCGTGTGTGAATTCGCACGGGGCTTAAACAGCGTCGTTTTGCCATGGAGGCAGCCTTATTGCCCTCTTCGTCCTTCCTCCTTTGTCCTCCCCCCTCCCCTTGCCACATTGAAAGAATAATGGAGGCTTCTTGGAACTTCTGTGGAGCCTCCTGGGAGTTTCTCGGTAGTCTCTTGGAGCATTATTGGGAGTTGTTGGGGGTCCATTGAGGGCGCATCCGTAGTCTTTGGCCCTTTTTGGGTTTGATGCTTGTATTGTGAAGGCCTTACAGCCGGTGCCGCCGACCCAGAAGGACGACGACGACGACGAGTGCCGCGACCACGACCACGATCACGACGACGACTACGACGACAACGACAACGACGAGATGATCCTGCCACAGGCTGGGAACATGAGACGGGCGGCGGAGGGAAGGAGGCAGAGGAGGAGGTGGAGAAGGCGGCGAAGAAGGCGAAAGAGGATGAGGGAGATGGGGAGTGAGAGGGGCATGAGCATGATTAAATGGCACTGTCAAGTCTGCAACCAGGGCCGGCCCCCTTGGGCGTGTGAGCTACACTGGAGTGCCTGTGGCACGCTTCTCCGCTGCACTTAGCACCTTGGGCTATTGGCCCTTTGAGATTCTTGTGTGATGCTCGACCCTGTGGTGAGGCACTACCTTGAGACAAGGCTTGCTGCGCTCACGTAGCTGCTGGCTGGTGTAGCAGCCGCAACCGACACAGTACCACAACCAACTGCCACCATGAAATTACATCTCATGGGACTCATGCGCCCATCCGCCTGCTATGTGAAGCCTGGCCTGTGGAGGTTTCTTGAAAAGGGCGCCGCCGTAAGTAAGCATAGCAAGGATGGCGATTGGCGCCGCTGGGTGAGAGTGCTCTTCGACGCCGAGCCTCCACATCTCGTGCAGCCCCGACCACTGTCGTCGAGGGCGTGAGACGACGAGAAAAGAGCGAGGGAGGCAGCAGCAGGCGGGGCGGGGGGAGGCGAGGTGCGCTTTATGTTCCTCCTCTAGACTCCCCCTGGCCGTCTGTGGGCCTATCATTCAACTCGGCGGTGAATGAATCGAGCGTAGCTCTCAATATTTGCATGTGAACAGGACGGGCATTCATTTCATGCGTGAGAGCGGATTGGCGGCAGGCTTCGGGCAGGCGAGCTTCGAGAGCAGCGACGCCTGCCACTGCATCCACAATAGTATTGGCAGTGATGGCCCAACGTTTGCTAGGATCCCGAGCAATGCCCTCAGGGGTCTGGTGAGAGTGCACGAAACGACAGAGACCTCATGAGCGGGCCCCCTCCTAACCAAAATAATCCCCAGCTCGGCCCAGAGGTCCGCGTCTGGGCCCTTGGGGGTGTTCGTATTTACGTTCGTGCAATTCTTGGACCACGAGTTCGCAATCTGAAGCGAACAGCACATAACCCCTAGACAGCCAGAGACCGATGAGGAGGGCTCGACACTTCCCGCGGGCAACAACCTGCCTAGGGCCAAATCGGTGGCCCTAGTGGTGGCTAGTAAGTCTACTTGGGGCTGAAGGGATCGGTAACCGCGACAGCGAAACTGACTCCTGGACACGGAAGAGTTGGTGTCGGGACCCCCGCTGGCGTCTCCGCTGGGCAAGATACGTTGTGAGAGCGTGCCTGTGCCTCAGGCACCGTCACTGACCTCGTTGAGTATGCCCTCGGAGGTCTACAGCTCGCCCGAGGGAGGTGCGGGCACTGCAGTCCAACTCTTGACCATGAGCCCTGGGGGCCAGGAGTTTTGGTCAGGCCTCCACCTGTGCCACCGCCTGCGGGGCCAGCTGTTGGGATTCCGCGTATGTTGTACAATTTTCTTCCACGCTTGACGCACGCTTGCTCGTGGGTCAGTTTGGTCCTTCCATGTCTGAAGCCACCTGTCATGACATTGGGACGGCAGCTTGATGGCAGGGTCCATGTCGCTTGCGCGGAGGTCGCGGAGGGCGGCGAGGCACCTATTTCCGCGCGGGTGCAGCAACCGATAACCCGAATTGCCGTCGGATGGCTGTCAGCTTAGGCCCGGACGTGCCGTGCATTTGGTGACCGTGCGCGCCTGCAGCTCGGGCGTTTTGCTTCTCCAGACGGCCTGTGGGACGATGCTTCTGAGGAACAAATGCATGCCTGCGGGTCTTCCAGCGCGCGGTGCGGCGCTGGGCCTCTCGGCCGACCCGCGCGGCTCTGGCCTGGCGGCTCCCGCGGGCGAGGTCGACCCCCAGGTGGCTGGCCCGCCGCCTGGGGGGGGGGGCTGGAAACCAGCGCGTCGCGCCCGGGGCGCAGCCCATGTGCCGTCGGGGCTGCTGGGGCAGATGGCCGCGGAGCGCGTCGAGACGGCCCAGCCCGTGGGTCTTGATTCCCCCCGCGTGCATTCGTGAGGCGCGCGGCCAGCTTCTCGCGGGCAGGCAGCCCCACGCGCGCCGCGCGCGCCCTGGGCAAGGTCGTCGGTCCAGAGGCGATCGCTCACGTTGGGGTGCGCTGCCGTGGTGGCCTCCAACGCGTTGCGCGCCGTGGCCAACCTGCGTCGCGCTTCCGACCTCGAGCCCCGCGCGATGCCGCGCTCGGGCAGGAAGGGCCGATGGGGTCGCCCCCAGTTGGCCCACCGCGCACGGGGCCGCGCGCTGGGGCAATTCCAGGTAGAGCGCCGCAGGGGGGGCGTGGAGGGGCGGGGCGCTGACCGTTCATGGCATCGTAGAGCCCTTGAGTGTAAATCGAGCCTTCTCCGCTGGCAATGCCCGAATGATGGGGCGCTTCCTGCTGGATGGCGCGTGGAAGTGCTTTTCTCAGGCGCGAGTTGCCCGCGGCGGCTGCGCCCGATGACGCGGCGTGTCCTCTGGTCCACGAGCGGATGTGTGGTTTGCGGATGAGACTCCGCAATCTGGCGAGCACGGGGGCCAGGCCTATGACGCGGTCGCCCGTGCTCTTCTTGGGCGGCATCTTGCCCGCGATAAAGGGGCACTTGCCCTGGCATGGCCAAGCGGTGCTCGCGCGCCTGCAGGAGGGCCCGGTCCGCTAGCGCCTCGTCGGGGGGCCCCTCGAGGTCTCCGGGGCTCAGCGCGTCGACGCCGAGGCTCGCCATCTGTCGCGTCTGTCGGAGCGCGCATGTCACGTCGGTGATTGAGATGAAGGGGGGGGGGGCTCCTCGGCAGCTGCAGCGCGCGCCCGATTGCAGGTGTCGGCGACGGTCTTTTCGTCGAGGGCGTCTGGGGCGCGCGGCGCGTGCCAGTGCCGCGCGTTGGCATCCACGACGCCCCCCGGGTGGCATAGCATGGCGTCGCCGCTCTCCAGATCCAGACCTGGGGGTGCGCGGGCGGAGAGACCGATGCGAGCTGCCGGAGGGTTCATCAGAGCCCACTAGGTCGCGAAACTCCCTGATCGATTCATTGACCGCTCTGCGCTGGGCACGATCACTGCTGCGCTGAGCTCCTGCTTCGGGTGCGCCCAGTCTAGGTGGGGGGGCGATGGCTGCGTTCTCGATGCCGCGGGGCCACTCCTCCCAAGGGAAGTCCTTCGTGGAGCGGGATCCTCTGAACAATATCAGGTCTGCTGTCGAGATGCCTGATGCAGTCGCCGGCGTATCTGGTCCGCTGGCGACCGCCGTTGCCCTTGCGCTGGCGCGGGCGCTGTCTTGCCAACGCAGTGCGCAGCTGGCGCCGCCAACTACTGAGCATGTCGCGCGCGGGGGCGAGGCGGCGATGCGCTGGCGCGCGGGCGGTGGTCACATCGATGTGAGGCCCAGCAGCGCGGCGAGGGTCTGGCGGCAGCTCGGCGCCTTGATGGTCGACGATGGCGCCCTCCACTGCCGTGGCCCATGAAGATCGCAATCCTGCAGTTCTGGCCAGGTTAAGCGGCCTGATCCTGGATGCTGCGGATTGCCCCGCAGCAGGAGCAAGGGGCTGAATGCGTTGACATCCAGAGTGAAGCCTTACTTGCTGACGGCATTTCCTCCACGGGCCCAGCGGGGTGGCGCGCGGTGGGGCCGCCCCAGAGCTGCTGGGCCCCGACCCAGAGTCACCGGCACCCCGAAGAACCTGAGGGCCCAGGCGAGGAGGGCGCGGGGTAGAGCCGCAAGCGTCGGCAGACACATGGCCGAAAGTCCCGCCCCTTCCAGGCGCGCCGGCCTCGGGTTCCCGGGGCTGGTCGAGGGTCAGCTGCGTTATTGGCGCAGGTCCCCTGGCCCCTGCGCTCGGGGCCTTCCGCCCGAAGGGTTCTCGGGGGAGAGGGCGGGGAGGCCCCGGGGGCGGTGCCGCTGTCGACCGACGGTGGAGAGCCGAGCGCTTCGGGTCCTCTCGCAGGGCCCTCCTCGAGACCCCGCGGCGTGGATGGGCCGAGAGGGGGTCAAATTCAAAATGGTGACTGGCCGGGGGGGGTCTCTACAAGAGTTGAGCTCGC